AGAGATCTGCATCATGATGAATCTTGCCAGCAAAACTCGAGTATGCTACCCCTGAAAAAAGCAACCAAAGGAGTCCAAGTTAAAGTTGATACGAAAACAGTGTCAACCAGCACACTACCTCATACTGCACAGGGATTTGTAGTGATAGCACTAATGGCTCAAGTGGTAGTTCCTCCCCACAGCTATCAAGCACTTCATCAGGAAGCAATGGAGCAAAAGAGGAACTAGAAATATCTAAATTAGAGAACAATAGTCGGTTTTTCTCAGGTTTGCCTGAAGACTGTTTCTATATTGTAAATTTATTAGTTGAAGAAGGTGGATTGGATTACATTGATGTTTTGATCACAATGAAAAAAATTAGGACAAAAGATCAGTTTTCAAGAACAGGAATTGATTTTGGTAAAGGCACAAGTGCCATTTCTGAAATTTTTAATAAAACTGTTGTAGTAATGGCTCCTTTAATGACACAGTTGATTGTTTGGCCTCCCAGTTGCAAAATCAAAAAATTAGTACCAAATCAATTTCAAGCCCATTACAACAATGTACAATCAATTATTGATTGCTTTGAAGTTGAAATCGAAAAACCTTCAAATGCACTGCATCAGGCTAAAACATGGAGTGAATATAAAAAGAGTAATACTATAAAGTATCTTGTGAGTTGTACTCCTAATGTGCTGATAAACTTTATTTCTAGTGGGTTTGGAGGACGTACAACTGATCTACAAATTGTTGAGAAATCTGACTTCATTAATGTGATTCCAGAAAACTGCATAATAAGGGCAGATAGAGGATTCAAACACATAGAAACTATACTGCATAAAAAAAGCGCATCATTATTAAGACCTTCAAGCATTAGTGCGAAACAAAAAATCACCAAAGCAGAAGTTACTAAAACTAAAATAATAGCTGCTTTGAGAGTCCATATTGAACGGCTCATAAGGAGACTCCGTGAATTTGCTATCATAAAACCACATGCCTGTATAAGGTCCAGAATAGTCCTCCTCCTAGGCCAATATGGTGATCATTGTGTGTGGTTTAGTACATTTACAAGAACAGCTCATCAAAAAATAAGTATTATTGCCATGCAAGTCTCGTTTTTTTCATATTTTAATAGTACATAACTGCAAGTGCAAGATTTTTGTTGGTATATTAATACTAACACAGTGAATTTTTTAGCTACACATTGTGCACATCCATAAAGCTAAGTATGAATAATTTTGTAAAACACCAATTTTTCCTTTTGTAGGTTAAAATACTTGTATATGACTTATTGAGGCTGTTCTTTACATAATATAATTTTTTCGAGTATCTATTTATTCCCCTTACTACACATTATCATTTAGAAACCTCAAAATAAATAAATTACTCGAATTTACCAACGCTCTATGACATAAAAATAACTAATTATTTAGTAAAGTGTATACCTTGTGTATTAAATTTTTGAAAAGCTTATTAGATCAACAATGTTATGGAATTCAGGATTATTTTAGCTGGTCAGCTGGTGGTATATATCAATATTTTTGTTCATCTACAAATACAATAAAACATTTGCTACTAATGTAAATAGTTAAAAAAACATTTCATGAATAAGTGCTTTATTCAATCAAATAAACACATAAAATAAATTGGACAAGAATATATGCATAATATAGACTAAATGCATTTGCATAATGTATCACAGTTTGCAAATATTAATCATACATTTTCTGATGATACCTGAATAGAATAAACTAGCAGCTTAACCCGGTGCTGTCTGGTTCAAAATAAATTTTTCTATCTTATATATGTGCCCAAATCTTGGTGCCATTAAGTGTATGTTGTATACATTGTTAACTGATTAATTCAGTTACTAAATCAATTTATTATAAATCAAATTTGAAGATAATAAAAATTTAAAAGTAGGTATTGAAGATATTAGTCTAATAGACTTTGATACATTTATATAAAATATAATACATGAAAGTTTATACCAAATATATTTCAATACACACGAACAATGAGTTCTCTTTCAATCGAATCTACAGGTAATTGTTGACATCACAAGTTGAGTACATTACAGTAGATCTATTGGATCAACAACAAAGTTGCTTTTTGCAGCAAATCCTTACAAAAAGAAATGTCAAGTTCAACTTCCATAATTGATACATCTTTATTCACTTCAAAATTTGGTGATGCAACATAAAATAATCCCTTCTTTCTGCCCGACAATAGCATTTGGAGTTGAATTTGTGCAAAAGGTTTCTTGCCTATGATTCCATCATTTAAGTATTGCTTAAGTGTCAACTCTTTTGATGGGCACTTTATTTCAATACAAAACTCTGCATTTACAGCTTCAGGGCTAGCTCCAAATATAGGATATCTCTTATCTACAAATATTCCTACTTTTTCTACTTTTATTAGTTTATTTCTTGCCACAACCTTCAATACTTTATCCTCTAATGATAATCCCCACTTCATAGCCTTTGTGGACTTGAATTTTGCAGCACCCAAAATTGACTCCACTAAACATCCATCATATGCTGTGCTGCTTCATAAAACTCGATGCAGTAACATGTGCATACCTTATCTCAAACCATGTACCAGTATTGGATGATCTTTTGTTTGATTTAAAATTTCTTTACAAGGCTGATCATTCATTTCTTGCTGATAATACTGAATAAAATTTTCAGCAGTGATGCTGCTACTGTTTTCTTCCAAATTTATTTATTAAATGTTATAGGGATACTTTAACAATAGCATTCTCCTCAGTTTTGTAGTATTCAAATAACATGCCTTTGCTTTTGTTTTCTAATCCTTCTTCTAGTAGTTTTTTTAAGAGAGAATTATTGTGTGATGTAACTGAGGGAACATTCTTAAATAGCTCGTTCAATTTTGCGGCTTTCAATGAAGAACCTACTTTTGCTAAAGTCGGTTTTCGCCAGTAGCACTCAACACTTGTTACAGAAGGTTCTGTAGAACGTCGTAGTAGCCAAAACATCAGAGCTACACCATGCTTGCACCCTCCTAGAAATTAAAATATAGTATATTATAAAGTCACAAGGAATTATTAAGCTCAATACCTTCACTAGCTGGACAGCTATGACACACACTATGTGTAATCTTCTCTTCAGCCTCATTAATGCAGATTGTCACCTGATATCCTTTTTCGTGGATCTTGTGTTCTGGAGTTACTTGGCACTTTACAGTACATATTGATCCCTCTCGCATCAGCTGGACAAATCCGATAGCTTCATCCCCATACGATTGCTTGCAACTTCTAGGAACAAAATGGTTACTAAAATATATTTCCTCACAGTCGGAAAAGTACCCACCTTTGTGTTTTCACATTTCTCACATTTGCTTTGACAAAGTCTTCATTGTGTCGATAGTATTCATCGATCATCTCGTAATCTACTTTCGGTAAATCCGAAGAATCTGCTTTCACGAAGTTTTGTTCCATATTTTAATTGTGTATTTAAAAAGCTAAATTCCAAATCAGTCACTGCGCACGCTGCACAAACTAAATCACAATACCAAATCATCAACAACAACGTCAGAATGCATCATAACCTTTAAATTATCTGTCAAAAAGCAAAGACACGCTCCGGACGAGTCTGTAGAAAATGGGAATATCTGCTGTCCTTGTCACACTGTAATCGCCGAACAAATGTAGAGTCACATTCTAAGAAGGGGGCGGAGAAAATATTACTACGTCACGCCAGATATTAATACGTCACACACTTGGCGGCAAATTTTATTTTTAAACTTTTAAGCCGAGTTTTTGTTACTTCTTGTTCAAATAAAAATGTAAAATTACTCAATATATAATTTTTAGATGTAGAACTTCAATTTGGAACCAAACATTTTTTTTTGAAAATACCCCATTGCGCGTAATTCAAAAGCGGTTTGACTGTATACTGAGTGCTTTGTACCATCCTGACACAAGCCCACTGTTCGTCCCCTATCAAACTCGTTAGGTTATAAACAATTTTCTCGCTTTCTCACTCTATGCATGATGAATAGATTAAATTAGCTCTTCACAAGGTATTTGTACGACGATCACATCCCAACTGTATCTACAAAACACAACTTTCTGTTACTTTTTACGTAAAAACAGATCATATCACAAAATCCATTCGCTTGTCTTTAGTACTTAACTAAACAAGAATATACCTGGGAACTCTTTGTAATGAGTTCATTACTGCTGAGTTTTCCTCTTCTAATGTCACTTAAGGTACAGATACACATGCTCATAAAACAGCATGCCTATGAGAATGCTTGAAAATGGCATGCTCTTGAAACTGATGCAGTTGCTTGTGTTTAGCATGCTTGTTTAGAGCATGCTCTTCTCGATCTTGCTCAAAGCAAACACTCCGAATACATATGCTATTTAATAACAAGCTTTCTGTCAGTGTTCCATTGCAAAAATGGAAAACCAAGTGCTCAGAAGAGGCATGCTTATTTATAGTTAACAGTAGCAATTGCTCATTAATAGCATGCTTATGTGCTAGATTTGAGCACGTGTATCTGTACCTTAAGTGTATGTGGAACTTAAAGTTACTCTCCTGTAATTGACTCAGCAACTGACCCCCTCACTTTGAGTTCCCAATGCAGTAAGAAGTGAAATAAGAATGTCCAGATGGTATAAGCATTGATATTGTACATAAGCGATTTTATAAAACAAATTTACTATAAAAATGCCTGAAGCAATGCCTAGTTTCACTTGTAGCTGACACCTCCTTAAAATGCACTGAGGTAGTGCTTCCACTCTTAACTTTTTTTTGGTGGTAACCATATGTATTTAAGCTATTTGAGTTGAAGAGGCGGTGAAAATGTTCTTTGATGTTTACATGGGAATTGAATAGTAAAACAGTTATCTTTGAACTGAATACTTAGACAGTTATCTTTGAAACAAACTGTACATTCAAAGCTTAAGTCGGAGATCGCCATGGATTTTCGATTGTGTTAATCAAGTTATACTCGTATAAATAGGTAGCCAAGAATAGTATGCCTGCACTTACCATCAAAGCCCCATTTCTCGTTCCTTCTTCTGTATGTTTTATTAGTGTATACTTTGGCTACTTTATTATGATCTATCCTGTTTCTTCGGGAATCATTTGAATTCTGGCTGACTTTCACGATGTTTTTCTTTATGGACTCGTAATTATGTGCAGGTGGCTGGTTTTGGTAGTACCTCTCATCTAAGGCAACCGATTTGTCTGACTCCGAATCTGAACTGGACCCATTATCAAAGTGTATTGACTTAGTTTGTCGAATCCCACATTGCAAACCTCACTCTACAATTTTTAAATATTAAGCTTGTGATAGAATAACTTAGGTCCATAACTATATCACTAACACGGTTTCGTTTTCAAAAATAGAAAGCAAAAACTGCTTAATATCTTCAAAAAAAATTTTATTGGATAATGAAACGAGAGCTAGGTATATGCATTTTCTGTACATGTGGGATTATTTTTTCAGTTATCCATTTGTTATTCGTTCATTTAATTTCATATTTTGTGCAGACAGTAGTTTAAATGTTTTATGGACCTAAATATGGTTTCTGTCTTCTGTTATTTCAACTTCCTTCATACGCTACCCGTATGGTGAAGTATTGCACTCGAGGGTTGTCATCTTCTAACGACTACTGAGTGTATGCGTTGCCTTTAAAATCGTAACAGAAAGTAACATATATTGTTCTTAGGAATAATAGTCCACTTACCTGTATTTCAGATAGTATATCCATGTTATCGCGATAACTCACTGCACAGTACTGTGTAAGTCATTTCAATTTTGTTCATAATATCACATCACTTATAAGCTTTGTTCGATACAGGTCAGGTTATTCTACATACTCTGCTGATTATTCCTATAGCAGATTAATAATAATGGTATGTAATGACTTTTTATAATATTCTCTAGCAACGTTATCCTTATCAGCAAAAAATCAGGACAGGTATGTTTGGGTAAGCGACTGATATACAGGGTGTTCCTTAATAATATGAGAATATTTAAGAGTGTGAATCCACATGAAAAATTAATGTTAGTCTGCTTTATAAACTATGGTCCAAAAATGTGTCCTTACAAAAACTCGGGGTGTTGAAGTTTTAAAAAAAAAATGGAAATTAATTAACGTCTTCAGAACCGCTTCAGATACTTCACTGATATTTAGTGAATGTTAATAAAGTTGCATATGTTTCAATGCTAAAACTATTTTTATCTTTAACAGTGGCGTGCGTACGGGTATTGACTTCGATATTTTTTAAGAAAAAAATTGTGCGCCAATGGTTTTTTGCCAAATAAAAATTATTTTTGAATTCCCCGTTCAATTTAAAACAAATGATCCGCCGTTTTCGAGTAAAAAAAATAAAAAACCGTTCTATTGTCCGAGAAAATTAATGTAATAATTGAAGAATGCAGTTTAGCAATAAATATATACGTATAGTTGCTCTGGAATATATCACTGGCATTTGACATCTCACAAGTCTCTGTTATTCAAATCTGTTCGCTGTGACATCTTTTTCATTATTTAGTTTTAACAATCTTGTTAATAATGATGAATTATTCAAATGCAGAAATGGCGGAAATGTATTACGTGTATGGCCTTGCTGACGGTAATGGTGAGCAAGCCAGACGGATTTATAACCAGAGATGTCCCGATCGTGCTTTGCAAGATAGTCGAACATTTTCTAATATTCATCGCCGTCTTGTTGAAACTGGTTCTGTCCGAAAAGGAACATCTGGAGGTAGACCACTAAGTGTGAAAACACCTGAAATTGAGGAAGCAGTGCAGCACGAAGTCGAAGAACATCCTGAAACGAGTACGAGGAAGATCGTTAGACTCTTATATATTTGCCATCAAATTGTTTGGAGAATTTTAGTGGATTTTTTGTTATATATACTAAGTGACATATAAATCCGAACACCCAGTTTAAATGGTTTTATTTTAATAAAAGTTGGTGAATGTATTTATCTTGTAAATAACAAGTGGAATATTTTTCAGCCTTATCAGTTGGACATTCCGGTTTTTATACTGCTTTTTTTAATTCACTAACGCTCTAAAAATGAATATTTCAGCCGCAGTAAAGAATCAACGTTGGCGGATTTTGGTTCTTGACATCCTTTACGATCGGTTACGATGCCTAGAGTACGTAGACTTCGGAAAGCTGGACTTTCTTTTCGGGCAATTGCAGTTAGAGTGCAAAGAAGTGTAGACACTGTGGTTGGGTGTTGTCAGGCATGGCTTTAAGAAGGCCGTACGCAAAGAGCAAGGGGCACTGAACAACAGACCGTGAAGATCGCCGCCTAAGATTATTGGCCTTAAGGGACCGTTTCTCCACTACCAGGTCAATTGCAAATGAATGGTTTGCAGAACACGGAAGACCTATTGGCATGCGAAGTGTTTACCGGCGAATGAGAAGTTTTGGCTTGTTTTCATACCGGCCACACTGGGTCCTCCCTTTAACTCGAGAACACCGACGTAATCGCCTTGAGTGGTGCAGACAACGGTCACTCTGGGATCGGGAATGGAACAGTATTAATTGTCTTTAGTGATGAGTCTCGATCTTGTTTAGGCATGCACGATGGTCGTGTCAGGCTTAGAAGGCGACGTGGTGAAAGGAGAAATCCACAGTTTTTTGTTGAAAGACATGTTCATCACACTGTTGGAGTTATGGTTTGGGGTGCTATAGCTTATGGTTTCAGGCCACCTTTAATCTTCATCAGAGGTAACATGAACGCGCAGCGTTATATCCACGAAGTTCTAGAACACCATCTTTTACCCTATCTTGACACCCTGGCAGATCCAACTTTCCAACAAGATAATGCCCGACCACATATTGCAAGAGTCACAATAGACTTCTTTCAACATAATGAGGTCACATTGGTACCATGGCCACCAAGATCTCCCGACTTATCCCCAATTGAGCACGTGTGGGATATGATGGGTAGGAGATTGCTCAATTTGCAACGTCCTCCTCAGACTCTAGAAGCACTTCGAGAGGAGTTGGTGGTTGCCTGGAATGAGATATCACAGGAGGACATTGACCACCTGATCAGAAGCATGCCTAGGCACGTTGGAGAATGCGTAGCAAATCAGCGTGCATCCACACATTATTAAAGGTCAAAGAGCTTTAAAGCAGTGCAATCATTTTGAAATTTTTATCATTTACTTATTATGCTTCATTAAGTACTTATACAAAATTTTATTAAAATAAAACCATTTAAACTGGGTGTTCGGATTTATATGTCACTTAGTATACTTACCATATTTTAAGAGTACAGGCATTACTTCCCATTGATTTTCCAAAGCATGTGACCTTTTGTCAGTGGTATCTTCAAAAAATTAAACAAAATCCGCAACTTAAAGCAATGATTCTGTTCAGGGACGAAGCTAATTTTTCTCGAAATGCCATTCAGAATTTCCACAATAGTCATTTGTGGGCAGAAGAAAATCCCTATGCCGTAACCGAAATCAATTTCCAACACCAAGTTTCGGTTAACGTATGGGCTGGAATTATTGGCAACCACTTTATTGGCCCATTCTTCGTGCCGGGACGACTTGACGGACAGACTTACCTCAATTTTCGTCAACAACAGTTGCCTTTGTTGCCTGATGATGTTCCGTTAGTAATAAGAAACAATATGTGGTACATGCATGATGGTGCACCAGCGCATTTCAGTGTAGCGGTTCGTAATTATTTACAAACTGTTCATCCAAATCGTAGGATTGGCTGCGGAGGGCCTCAAGAATGGCCACCAAGGTCCCCAGACCTCAACAATTTAGATCTCTTTTTATGGAGCTTAAGATACTAGTGTACACAAGTCCAATCAACACTGCAGAGGCATTAAGAGAAAGAATAGTTGCAGCTTGTGATCGAATAAAAAACACTCCAGGATTATTTCAACCAGTGCGCAATTCCATGAGAAGGAGGGCGGAAGCATGCAAACTAAGTGAAGGGGGCCATTTTTCAACCAATTTTTGTAATCATTCTGTTGGTTTTAATGTTATGTTTATGTCATCAGTTGTTGTTGTTCATTACCCCTAATGTGTTTGATTTTTCCAATTAAATTAATAATAATTTTGAAAGTTAGACGGTAGAACGGTTTTTATTTTTTACTCAAAAATGGCGCATCAAAAGAAAACAGCTCCAGAGAGATCATTTGTTTTAAATTGAACTGGAAATTCAAAAATAGTTTTTATTAGGCAAAAAAACCATTGACGTACCATTTTTTTCTTAAAAAATATCGAAGTCAATACCCTCACGCATGCCACTGTTAAAGCAAAAAATTATTTTTGCATCGAAAAATATGCAACTTTATTAACATTCACTACCTACCGAATATCAGTGAAATATCTGAAGGGGTTCTGAAAATATTAATTAATTTCGATTTTTTCCTAAAACTTCAACACCCCGAGTTTTTGTAAGGAAACATTTTTGGACCGTAGTTTATGAAGCAAAACTAACATTAATTTTTCATGTAGATTCACACCCTTAAATATTCGCATACCATTAAGGAACACCCTGTATAGAGGATAGACAATGCCGTTCATTCATGATTATGTATTTGTCCATTTTCCAACATTGCTTGGTAGCCAGCGGGACTGATGAGGAAAACAAAATGGCTACCGCGGTGAAAGGGATGACAGTTCAACCAGTGACGCATCATAATGATAATTCTAACGCACTTCCCCCAGCATATTTTGGAAACTGATGGCATTTCTCGAACACCAAAGGATATGCCGATAATATGTAGGCTTAGTGTATATCCTAAAAGGAAAACGGACGTACTGCAAATGTAGAATTGATTCTGAAATTCCGATTTTGAGCAAAATTATAAAGCAGTCGGACGGCGTTCCCAGGCCACTGGAGTTCCTAACATCAAGTTTTTAATTTTAGTTGCCGGTCAAGAGACAACCCTTCCGCTTCAAGCTGCTGACTGTTTACCGTGCAAACACATCACCGGAGCACCATGGTCAACAAAAGATAATGCTCGCATACACAATAAATGCAAATTATGAATGAAACTAGGTATAGTAAGAAAATAGCCCAAACGTCGCCAAACTTCTGGCAAGTTTTTGATATAGGTACGCTGCTCTTGGAACTGTTACGTTATTCGCATGAACACTGCTTCAGATCCATGGTCGCCGCTGCGGCATCATGCCCTTTAGCGGCATATGTATTTTGGATGAAGCTGTGCTCATTTTTAAAGTGTGTACAACTACAATATACGACAACATTCGTTTGTTCGGTGTTCCACCTGTGAATGATGACAACAGGATAAGTACCACTACAGCAACATTCCAATGTTTGAAGTGGAAACCGGTATCTCTATCCCTATTTATTGCTAATGGTCCGCAGGGTAATTAAGTTAAGAAGCTATATAATGACAAATGAAAAACTTGCTGACTAGATAACTGCTAGCATACAAATAGTTCATCCCGCGTTTGTTTGCTGTGAGCGTCACCCATCGCGTCTGTGTATAGCCTAGTTTCCCATCTATTATATGTGATATACTTCACCAAGCAAAGATTTTTCTTTTTGTGTCCCACATTTTGAAAATTCAGCAAATTGCATATGTTATTTCCAGGATAATTGAGAAAAAATCAATGGGGAATTGATTTCTCGCTTTGCATACCTACATCTGAGGTGACTGTATTTGAGACAAGAAGCCAAGGGAAGCGTCATCAACACAGATTAATAGCATAAAACTCCTCACTAAGCTCCTAGGTACTGCCAGTTCTTTCCAGCTATAGTATACAACTTAAATGTAAAATTAATATAAAAAAGACTTACTTCAACGACTGGCGATAAATATTTGATAATAAAAATGGAAGTCTCTTTCATCGTGCCTTGTGTCGTAATTTCTAACGCTTTTTTTTGGTTCTAGAAGCTCACATGTGACCTTAAAATCACCGAAACGTCATATTTTTAATAAATGTCTAAAGTTGACCGAACTCAAAGAATCTATAGCTTGATGTGGCAGATGAAATATACGTGAAAACCCTAAACGTAGATAATGATGATGATGCAAGCAGAAACCTCAAATCCGACCGCACGGCATTCTAAGATTTTTTGACAGTCGTGACTGTACTTGACATTCCGAATTAGTATAAGGCTTTATTCGTCTGTAACAATGGAAGAAAATATCTAAATTTAGGCTAGCCCAGCTCTGTACTATGTTGAGGTTTACTACAAGGACACCTTCAAGATTGCCTGTGTATTTGTGATCTGGTGGAAACTTGTTGCGTGAGAGGATCGAATGTCTAGATTTCGAATGGAAGTCAGTTTAACGCTTTAAAAGGTTTCATGTGGCTATTTCGTACATTAGATGTTGCTCCAAGACACTTCACTATGTTTTAACGGGTACACTCAAGTATTTTGTTACATTGTAGGAGTCGCATAGTCAGAGGCCTAACTACAGCGGCATAGTGACTGCTTTAGGCAACTTAAAGACGTCTTGTTATTCCGAGTTTTGAACTGTCTAAAGTTATCAGAGCTGGGAAAACCTTATCCTCACTGTTCCACAGTCCGACTTCCTTGAATTGATGGAGCGGTCGGACAGGCCAATCCTCGATGTACGAACTTCAACAGTGTTGGTATTGGTGGCAGAAGCCTGACCGATAGCAGGTTTAACGCACGACATCACCTCTCATATTTCCACAAGGATTCGATCACCTACAGCAACAGAAAAAAAATAGAAACTAAGCCCAACAGCGTCTCTTGGTAATTTGAGATTTTCTGTGTGACAATTTGGGAAAACTCTTCATATCTGTGATCTGGACGAAGACTTATTTCTTGGACAAATTGGTCTAGGCAGAACCCGTTTCCAACGCTGATTTGTTGCTAGCACTCATGGTGTTCCCAAAGAAAAAATTTCTAATAGAACTCCATGATTGCCACGATTGACAAGATATGTTCGTGCCAGAACAATTCCTCGGTGATCTGTACCAATCGGAATGGACGGCTCTGTGGTGGAGCATGGTCATCCATTAGGACCAGACAGCGCTAGGGAGCTTCTTGCTGGTCAAATAAGCATTAAACTGTACCAGATTGTTACGTCCCCAAAACAGTGATAACCTTCAGATCCTCCATCAGAGCAGAAGTCGTTGCTAGTCTCTTACGTGCAGCTCATCAAAAGAGATGATCGGCTTGGGGCTCTCTTAATTCCTGCATCATAGCACCTTCACCAACAAAACTGCGGATCGGATGGATTTAACAGGGAAATGAGGTTGATATGTAATGTCTAAATCAACACCAATACCTGGGGAATACCTGGGATGATATTGTGGGATGAAGAGGATAATCCGTCAACTACTATGGATATCTATTGGCCGGAGAGGTTGACAGCCTCCCATCTGCTAAGCTTCCCTGGGAGGCCATAGGATGGAAGCCAGCATGACATGACACATCTGATAGAAAACTTTCGCGATATCAAGAGCAGCGATATGAGCCTCATCATATGACTGGACGAACTTACTCTGCAGTTACGTGACGTAGGCTTAGTCTCTTGTTGATCGCTGCTAATCAAGACACTCCAGAAGCTCTCCGTACTTCTCTTTCACCTCACTTATAAAAGAAAGCAGACTTTTGTACCTGTTGATCCTGCCAGACACGAGCAAATTTCCAATTTTCTGAGGAAGTACCAGATTCATGAGATAGCCGGAAGATACGTGAAAGAACTGAAGCAAGCTTTTCTTCAGCACATCAGTAGGAATCAAGTCCGGAACAGAAGCTTCATTGATGTCGAGCATCCGTCCTATGTCTGAATGTCACTTCCACATAATGTACCCTTTGAATCGATAGCACTCGGGCGTTAAAGGAGACGTCTATGGTGGAGTTGACATCAAATATTTTGGTGAGCATTTCTTTCTTAGCCCTTTATTTGCGCTCGTTCCATCCTGGCACATAAGCTTTGGAAGGCTACCTTTTGGCCAGCGTCCAGAAAATCTGATTGCCATTGCGCTGCGATATTGCCTTATGCCCAAATATTGCATTGCATTTGGCATTGTGAACCGTATCGTTATATCTGTTTTCTAGAATCGTCGTTGGCTAGTCATCTGTTGTCTACAGTGGGGTTTTGTAAGGAGGTTATGCGATTCTGCTTTATAATCATGGAATCATCAGCATGAAGGATAACTTTTCAATACTACTTTAACCAAACTTCTGCACTAAATTCAGTGCATCAAATTTAAACTTTCACTCTCATTCTGTAAGCGGTCTGCCTAAGAGCCTTCCGCCCATTGGCACCAACTTTCGCAGTTAAATGACTCCATGGATTGTGGCTAGCTTTTACACCAAAAGCTCTTGCTATGTGGCAACTGCTCGTTCCAAAAAGAAAAGTACACCCTTTAGCTGCTACCTGGAAAAAATATATTCACTGTAAAACACATAGAAGTAACATCCCATAACATTCGCAGCTCAAAGTGGCTGCGGAGAACTGAGTAAACTTCTGAAATGCGGGACGCTTTCATAACTGCGCCACAAACTAACGAACAGACAGCCGGTATTCGGCAAACAGCTTAGTCGGGATCGCTGTTTGAACAATACTACTCGCTACACGAAGGACTTTTGTTGTGAGCTGGAACTATGGCGATTTGTGGAAGGGTCAAAGGAAAAGTCTACAGCTGCAGATATTAATGTTATTTTCATGCTGTCATTTAGCTTAATCGCATATCAATGATCGTTACATTTAAGCAGTATTATACGGATACTTTGAAACATCCAGAAGCCCCAAACTCAAGTGAATGTAATATAAAGCAGATTTGGCATATGGACTTGTTCTTGGTTGTGTTTTGAATCAGCTGGCATTGAAAGCCGTTTGCCATTATTTATATCATACTCAATAAGGGTGGTTACATTAAGGATAGCTAAATGGCGAGCTATGATCAATGTTTTATTTCTCACGTATTCTCAAACAATTCCGAATATAAACATCAGCTGTCAAACTGACATAACGCAGCAAACAGCATACAGTTTTAAGAAGCATCATTAGTTACCTCTAAGTGTTTTTGTTATGAATATCCATCTAGGGCGAGTGTATAGCTTAGGCATAAACTAGTATTTATAGTTTTCTATGTTTTTATTTTCGGCCAAGGTGGCCGACCTTGATTACAGAAAGACGTAAAATACAATACAAATGAACATAGTTTGCATGAATCATGATTTTTATTTGCTTCCTCAACGTGTTTTACATAACATTTGTTCGACAGCTCATACGTAGACATTTCGCAAAGCTATGAAGCCAAATGGTGACATTTACATGCTATTGAATCAAATGTGTCATATGTCAATTTACAAGATAGCTTTCAAATACATAAAATTTCATTTAAGAACTGGCATATATGGTAAAAACGAAAATTACATGGCAAATGGCACAGATCTAATAAGATACCTATTTTCCCAATTTTGTGAAATAACTAAAAAGCGGCAGTGTCATCTCCTGTTCTGGGCCTCCTCAAATGTAAACAATATAGATCTTACTTATTATAAACGATTAAATTGTTGTGGGTAGACTTTCAATAGTATCTTATTCACTTTTCTCCGTCGAATATTCGTATAGCATCTTCAATCAGTCCTTCAACCCTGGTCCTGAAGGGGCCATAATACCAAATCTTTTCAAGTTCATCCTTTCTATCACCAGTGAAAAATTTTCTGGACCTCACTTATCACTCATCATCTCTTTCTTGAATTCATCTGGCATCAGTAGGAATTGCCCGTACATCAAAGCTGTGCATATAATACTAGGTTCTGCTTCTCGACATGAGTCTTTCAGCTGCTCCAGGGTGAATATGTTTCCAGCGTCAATTTCGTAAGAACTTAAGATATTAGTTAATTCCTTGTAGTACACTTCGATCAGATCCTTGACATGTTTAGTCTTGAGGTACGGTCTGTATTGGCGTAAAGAAGGAACATAAGGTCTACTGATGGAGAACAGTACCTTGTCAGCTGGAAGTCTATGAGGTACGCAGAGGGTGTTTGAGTTGCTTGATCTTCTTTGTACATGACGTTGGCTGAAAATATAGCAAAAATTTCACAAAACAAATATTCAAACATCATTGAGATGATACAAATACTTTGGTAAAATTTAAATCTAACACCCTTCATTACAAGTTTGTATTTAGCTTAACCTATAAGTCGTTATTTAAGTTTGTGTGGGACAAATGTTGAAACAACAAGTTCAGCTGAAATTTTCTTTGCACGTTTTGTTCGCGTGACAAAACTGATGAATTGAATGACGCCATTTTGAATCCGATAAGGCGGGTGTTAAAATCATCGATTTATCATTTATAAAGTATGGGTATAAAATGAAGGAACGGAAGAGAGAATAATCAAAGTGACGCCATGCTTAATCCAATATGGCGGACACCGCAGAATGGGCGATTTATAACTCCCATAGTCACCGCTTTAACATGGGTGTCAGATGAAGGAGCTGAGTCAGAGGAACGCAACAAACAAATTGACATCATCAAATAACGATTTATTATTATCACCGTGAGCCCGTATGATATATAACTCAAACCCATCGAATAAGGACGTTTTGATTTTTGATTGGTGATCTGGTCCAATTATTAAGTTAGTTAACGATTATATAAAATAGATGCTCGTCTATTGTAAATATGTCAAATTGCTTGAACAGGTGTCCGTTCATATACAGCGTAATGCATTTTAACAGCCAGAGCGGAGAACTGTGTAACACTCCTTTATTTGTACATTTGAGGCGATGGAGCCTCATTACCGTTTAAAAGTTATGAAGTTTTGAATTTTTGTCTAATTTATATTAAACTGAATAAACATATTATGTCGCTTGTACTATGGCCCTTAACTATCGTTTAGGTCATCGTAGCCTATGAACATGGCCCAAAGAAGCGCCCGACTATATTATGCTCCATTTGGGCTTTAAGTACAATTTCCATCGTCACAGCCATGATGCCAGCATCCTAGTTATGCCGGTTTTCGCCGTCTTGCTGATTTTAGGCTAAGCAAACTCTTATTTTCGAAATTTGAGCCTAAGTATATACACAATTCGTATCTGACCTAACCCCGGGAGCTGGGTGTCGCCTTGCTGGGTAGCTGGTCTGACAGAAGGGTAGTACTACCGTAATTACAAATTTCCCAATAACAAAACGCCTTTCACTGATAATACCAACATCTACAATCCCAACCCCATATAAACGTCAATACTTAGTTTCCAACCGCTCCAGAAATTTATCTGAGAATGATCAAAAGCCGCTAAAACATCAAAAAACAAAGTTTTAGCGAATCTTATTCTTATATCCCGTAGCTCTGCCGTCATTGGTTTTGGATCTATTCTCAAAAACTACATTGCTTTTTGGTCCTTGGCACAGTGGTAACCTTTTGTAAAACTTTCATCAGTATGTAAGCGGTGTTGTGTCCTGATCTTATACGATGAAGTTGACAGAAGACCGCTACGTCTCTGGCTCTTAACTCCTTGACATTTTGCAATATGGACAGATAAGTGATGCGCCAGCATTACGGTTGATCCGTCAAGGAGTCGGAATAATAAGTATTCACAGAGCAAATTAGCAATGACTTTGTGGACATATATGCATAAAAGCAAGCAAACTCAAATAGACATGTTGCTTTCCGTTTCTGTAACTATGACCGACAGAAGATGTTTCGTGCTCGTTAGCAGCTCATCACTGCTGTATAGCTCTAGACCTGGAGACAAACAAATAGAAAGCGGATATGGATTCAAAACATTGTGCGCAAGTACGAGCCCCTTCCCACTTCAGTTGACCCAACTATTGAAATCTTAGTTTTTTTTCTTATCAAACACAAATAATAAAAATGTAGCAGGGTGTTATAGGTTTAAAATATTAACAATGAATATTTTGATAATATAAACTATATAACTGCTTATCAAGTGAGTATAAAGAATATAGCCTAAGCAATTTTAAAAAAGGTTAAAGATGAGTTTAAAGCAGTCGGATGGCTAAAATTTTACTTTATGCATATCCACAGGTAATTGATTGTTTCCTTTCTCTGATAAGTGTTATATTCTAAGTTTTTTTTTCGTCTCTCCCTATAGTTTGTGTCAATGTTTTCCAGGTCGGGTTGAAAAACAGCATAAGCTGACACTCCACCTTTTCGTCACTGTTCCTTTTAAACCAATTATTTTGTAATCGTGTGACGAATAAAGGCCATTTATTATTATTATTATTATTATATATAGTAGAAAACACCAACTTCATCACTCCCTAATCAAATTTGCAGCATAAAAATAACACATGTTGCAATTAGAGCATATCAACATATTTTCATTTCAATGCAAATAAGACTATAACGCATAGGTGGCTGTGAAAAATAAAATCCATGACAATCGTTTTTATTAACCACAGCTGTCAGAATACGTTTAAAATAGTTTTGGGTAGTTAAGGTTTTCAAAATGGGTAGAGGAAAGGTTATTAGTGAGAAAATGCAGGTACCGATAATTAAATTTTTAATTCCGGGAAATCAAACTCAGAAATTGCAACTTTGTTAGACTTATCGCGGTACAGTGTGAGAAATATTGTTAGAAGATATAACGTAACTGGTTTAGTTAATATTAAGCCACGATATGTGAAAAAAAAGTAATATCACAAATGCCGACCGAAGAGAATTAAGAAGAATAATCGTGAAAAACAGGCGTGCCAATTATTTAAAATTAAGTGATCTGTGGAGTGACGCTGTTGGAAGGAGAATTTCGAGGTCCACAACTCATAGAGAGGCCCACAAGCGGGGATTTAGCACTTGCAAGGTAAGTTTTCTTATAAAAAAAATGAAGTGAAAACCCTAAAGTTGCACAACTTGTTTATAGACCAAAGAAAAGCCACTATTATCTCTACTGCAAAAGAAAAATCTGCTTAGATAGGCTAAAGAACATAGACCATGGACACCTCAGCAATGGTGTGCAATACAATGGAGTGTTGAGGCCCGATTTGAAGTTTGTGTTGGTGACAGTCGCAGTAGAGTTATTCGCAAAAAAATGAAGCATTCCATATTGACTGTCTGAAGAGAAAAGTGAAATTTCCAGCATCCAGTAGGGTTTGGGGCAGTATGTCATCAAAAGGAGTAGGAAAACTTCATTTTATTGAGGGAAATGTGGATTCAGAGAAATATTTCGCAACTTTAGAAGCATCGCTTTTACCAGTGATGGAAGAATGTTTGACATCCGGCCAAGATTTGTGTTTCAGCAAGATGGTGCAGCGTGTCATACCTCAAAAAGGCTATAAAATGGATGGAAGAAAATAATGTACCAGTTTTGAAATGTGTTTCTAGCAGTCCAGATCTGTCACCTATTGAAACGGGCACGAGATGAAAAAGGTTCTACGACAACATCCTGCTCGTACAATCACCGAACTGAGACAAAAGCTTCAAGAAATATGGGATTATTTTACACCATATTTTTGCAAAACTTGGTGAACACTATGCCCCAAAGATTTCAGCGTAATAAAAAATAAACGTGATGTTACCCAATGGTAATCTTTCAATTGTGCTTTGTTAACGTCGCGCATTTATTCGCACATTGTATATTTGGTCAGATGTTCTATTAGTTATAGTTCTAAGTGATTTCAAATATGTATTTTTTATAACTAGAGTGTATCTAAAATGTTTTTGAGAAAATAAATTGTTTTAGAAGTAAATAGTTTCGTCATGTTTAGTTTATAAAGGTATATTTTGGTACAAATCTTGAAGTGGGCCAACTGAAGTGGGAAGGGGCTCGTAGATGAAAATCTCCGTTAAAATCTGACTATCGCCACCATACGGTAAAGGTGAAAGAGGCCAGCGCTTTCTGCGGTTCGTTATGGTTACAGAGATGGAAAGCAAATATATTCCATGGAATGAGGATGTAAAATCAGCTTGGCAATACATTGGTAGGAGACGATCGTCATGTTTTCACTTATTTGCGCTCAATGTTTTGAGATCCTTACCTACCATGTCTGCTTCCCGTTTGTCTGTTTCTAGGACTAGACCTTTACCAGCACCGATGACTTGCTAACGAACACGAAACATCGTTGTTTGGGGTTGGTCATTGTTACAGAGGCGGAAAGCAATATTTCCAATTCAGTTAGCTAGCGAACAGAAAGATCGACGGAAAAGACATACATGATTTTGCGTCACTTTTGAAAATTTTCGCGAATACTTCTCGCCAGTTGGTGTACAAAGTAAGGGCGCCTTCTTCTTTGAGATGGATGTTTGTCGCATTCCGTGTCACTTTTTGAGTCCTAAGCCCGTATGACATGATCAAATTTTCATCATATCTATTGTACAATAATTGAATGAATGTGCCGCACCATTACTGCATACTTTGACATTCACCTAGGATGTGTTCTAAATCATTGATAGTGCGTACATCGCAAAATATATCTGCGACTTCGTTCTCTCAACAAAACGAGATTGTGTTTACACAACATAGCCTTCACCGATATTCTTCATGTGGTATTCTTCAGCTGACAAATTACAAAAGATAGTTAGATTACAGTTGAATGCGAAGGAATTTTTAACAAAGTACATAATTAATAAATCAAACCATTTCTCACACACCCCCGCATCCCAATTTCTATTGTCAACCACGTTAGCCACGGTAAGCTGTTATGTATAGAATCTTAAAACACTCTAGAGAACAATGTTTGCTGGACAGAATTGTCAACAAAGTATTGACAGAAATGATGACAAGTAACTCGTGTGGTTTCTGATTGTTATGAATACGCACGTCCTTGTCCAATATTTAATCATAGCAACGGCGAGAACAGCAAGCCTGTCTATTGTTCTTTGCCAACGTATTTTCGAAGAAGAATAAGATGAAAAATTTGATCGTGACATCCGAGCCTTAGGGCTGCCAGGGCAAGTATGGCATTTTGACAAAAACGACTCGTATCCAGAGAATGGACGGCATTTTTTTATTGGAATGCCTTACTCACTGGCTATTTATGACCACCAATCCTAGACGACTTGAAGTAATATTCTCTTAGTCTGTAATAGTAGAATAAAATTTCACAAAACCTTGTTTACCTTAAAAATTAGATATTTTTTCCTTGGCAGCCACTTACCTCCCCACATGTCTCCATGACTGTAAACATTCCTTATCTTATCAGATTTTTGTACGAGTACATATATCCTGTCAGATGCCTCGTAGATCTTCTCCTTAAGTGTATCAAGTCTTCACCTTCGGACTCGCCCAGACACCTGGGCAGAATGTACTCACCAACACATTTTTTGTAAGATCTCTGAAGGATCTAATATCTTCTCTATCCAAAAAAGCTGCTTCAGCTACACCTTCCGGAAATTCTTCATCAGTCTTACTATCTTTCCAGTCTTCTCACTAAGCTTTTCTTCAAAGATGATAGACATAGCATGCAGTTTTGCCAACTTTTTAACAGTTGTTTCCAACCAGTTGTAGGAGACTGGTATATGAAAGTTCCAGGAACTGTATCCGTCAACTGACAAGTCTTCAAAAAGGAGCTTGTCATTGCCAGCGAAGTAACACTTTGGGCAAACATCAGTCAGCTCCTCTAAACCAAGTTCTTCGCACTTTTTTAGCAGAGTTTCAAAAAAGAACTGTTCTTTTCCAAAAGGCACCATAGAGAATTCTCTAAGATCTGGGTTGTCTTTATCAACTATTTTTGCAAATAAGCGGTGAGTTTCCGTTTCTGTACCATTTCTAGCAGTCAGCTTTATTTGTAATACTTTCCGAGGTTTCCAGGTAGATCTTGAGCAGGCACAGCCTCAAAACTTATCAATTCTGCTTCTTTAGTTTTGTAGATATGCTTTAAATAGCATAACATTCTTCTCTATACAGCACTGGATATTGAATGCATTCTTCAACTTCTAACGCCGATTTTTGGATATCATCAATATTTTCTTCTTACATGAATGATATAACCTCTCAAACTTTGCATATGGTAAGAACAGCCTTAGCTGGGTGCTAAATTGGTCTTTGTGAGGTCATATTTTGACAAAGTCTTGTTGTAATAGTTTTCAGTAATGTCACTAAACGCTCTCAATCGCACATCAGTATCTACGTGAAGAAGTATTTCACATAGAACGTCATATACAGCTGGTATTTTCAAAGAGTCTTTGTCAACATGAAATATTGTTCCACATGATTTGTTCCCAATTTTGCTAACATCAAACTCAGCCAGCTTCAGTATACCATCATTGAATTCATCTTTACTTAACTTCGTCAACTCAACCGTGGGCATTTTGTCTACGACATACTGATACTTGCTTTTGTCTATGAAAGTGTTATCTAATTCACTATCACACAGCACTGAGTGGCTTTTTAAGAACTTATCTGAAATGCTCATGTTCACATATACGCCGTGCACTTGAAATAATTGAGAGCTATCTGTGCGCTGTTATTTGATACTTTCAGCCTTGGGACCTTGATAAACAAGGCAAATTAGATTGTTAGCCACAATAAAAATACTGAGGAAGTGACATGTGAGAAATACACCTTTTTTGTCAAAATATACCCAACAATTTAAGTGTGGCTAAATTATGCTGATGCAACGTTGCATTTTCTCTTAAATGTTAAGTGTCTGTGGGATTTGTTTTACTAAAATTGAATAACATGAACGTGAATAATATGTGATTTTACTTAGACGGTGCCAAGTGCCGTGTCAAGCAGTTCGTTATTGAATGAGACATCTACTTGTCGTGCGCTCTCTCGTCAACTATCGTGATTGACGCTTCAAATCATGTGATTCAATAGCAATAGGCTCCTGTACTTATTGGAGTTATTTGAGGTTAAATATGTATGGCAAAAACCCCATCAACGTTTGTGCATTGCTTCAGTGTAATTCAACTTTCAATATGAAATATTTATACAAGATGTCAGCCACACCGAGAAGTCAATTCGCTGATGTGCTATTCCAAACTTTATCCTATCCGTGTTCCCTATTTGATTCAGACCTGTGTGGATGTTTGCATCATTTATATTTAATTCCACTCATGAATGCTTACGATTACAATATCTTTCTAGTTTGTGGTAAGAAAATCCAGACAAGCTAAGACTCTACTATTCAAGAGCTTACAATTTTCCTGTGCTATTCAAAAAGTACTTATCAATCATCATGATAGATTAAGTGGTACGTAATTAGATATGTACATAATATCGTCAGCTAACCCAATGTCACGACACATCATTTTCCTGAAACGCTGCCACGGCTAACCAGTGATAGTGCACAGCTCGGAAATTACGCAAAATTGTCAGAGGTGCACTTTACAAAACATTTTCATTATTACTCATTGGAATCGCCTTATTTGCACGGATATCCAGCTATAAATGACCCCTCTAGCTTTTTGATGACCTTTTAGAAAAAAGTTATGTACACAAGTAGTATGGCATAATATATATGTACATATATCCTTAACTTATTTGGGTAGAAGGCAAGCATTGCATAAGCACACTCTTATAACTTAAACTCGAGCTTTCGAAGGTCTATGCCCTCATCGTCCGGAGCTGGAAACGATTTTTAAAAAATAGCAACATAAGCAATTAGGAGGAAAAAATATATTGTTGCTGAAATTGTTCTTAAACGCAGTAAATGGAACACATAGTCGACGAATAAAAAAACTGGACCGATGAGGTTCGATTAGGAGGGGAATTATTTATTAATGAATTTCAAATCATAGCTATGTTTTCTTTGCCATTTATTAATAAAGTTATTCCGTCCCAATAGAAAATCGTCGGTCCAAGTTTTTTTATTCGTCGACTATGTGTTCCCTTCACTGTCGTTTAAGGACAAGTTCAGCAACAATCTTGCCGACTTAGTAAGTAATATATTTTTTCCTCCTAATTGTTTATTGCTGCCTTTTTTCAAAATTGTTTCAGCTCCAGACGACGAGGGCACAGACCTTCGAAAGCCCGAGTTTAAGTTATAGAGTATGCTTATGCAATACTATGCCTCCTACTAAAAGAAATTCAAGGATACTTTCTCCTAACAGTTAAGGCCATTAATATGAATACTATATGCATATATATATATATATTCAAGGTGTATCAATATCACACATTCTGCACTCATACGAACTACACACTTTTTTTTCCAAAACGAGTTATTTCAGCATTTTTAGTAATTTGGGTGGAGATTTACCGAGCGTCCCTCGTATACTTCATACCCAAAGTTGGACAGGGAGGTGACATATCCACGTCCGTCGCGTCAATCACTTGTCATCTGTCGATGCTTTACCTGTCCGTGCCTTCCCCCTCTCCACGTATAGCGGTAGTAGAAGGTTAGGGACTGCATTCCGATTGTTTCAACAAAATGTCTCCCAACGTGTAATATTTTTAACTGTTCGGATGTATTGATATAATTTTTAATTTTTTCTTAACTTTTAACGAAGGTATCTGTCGTTTTTCAACAAGCCAATGTCCCCGTCCTTTTGTTTTTATACTGATCACAAATTCGATCTCTCTACGTTTTCTGAAACACCTTGTGGCTGCAACCTCACCGACGAGTAAGTGTCTGACATTTTAAATCTGTCCTGTTTTCTTTGCTAGCATCACAATTGTGTTTTCAGAATCCTGATGAAGCCTCCATAGAGAATGCCGAAGCTTGATTTTATCGTCAAAGAGTCAACTTATGCCTAAAAGTTTTGCCAATTCCCAATTAACAAGTAATTATATGTGTACCCAACTAGTCGTTGGCTTTGGCAACGACTACTGCTCATATATATATATATATATATATATATATATATATATATATATTTTTTTTTTTTTTTTTTTTTTTTTTTTTTTTTTTTTTGAGACGTGGTCATTGTCGTCTAGACCAGTTAGGTGAAAAATTAAAGCTTCCGCTTTTTGTTGGGTACTTCGACAAGATTTAAGCAAAGAGGACTCTTTATACTTTTTTTAATTCTCTCTAGCTTTCAATGGACTTTGCCATCATCATCAGGAGCTGCAATTACAATGATAACAGTAGCAACAAAGGTGTAAAATGAATTTAAATTGACTCAACTTACAGTAGTATGTGAGGATGTTGCTAATTGTTGTTTACGTATAGGATGAGGGAAACGTCCAGTAACATGGTGAGAGCTGAATAGATTGCACAATAGTCAAAATTATACAAAACATGACAAGAACAAGTTAAAAACAGATTAAAAATTTTAAAAATTAGAGCATTACATCGTGAAACCACCTGATGATTGCACAAATTAGTGGTCATGGAATGATGAATTGATGAGTGACATGAAACCCTTTGACAGAAGGCCGAAGGATGTCAATGTCAGTATTGAAAGATGGAACGAATTGTGGGCGTGTGCCAAAATGTTGCCAAATCACTTCAGATGATGAGATTTTTAGAATTTTATGTTAGAATTTGTTAAACCGACCAGAGGCAGTTGAATAAACTATTTATTATTAATGGGAATTTAAATTACAATTATTAATAAATCGTGAGGAGAGAATTATTATATTTTGAGTGGAATGAATTTTACTGGTGGAAACGCCAAAACACAGATTCTAATTATGGTTGTGAAGAGTTGAAATTTGGGGAGATATGTAAGTTCTCCAATTTTTCGCAGTTTAGCAAATATGAGTAAATGACACTCAGTTGTTTAACATCTGTCTTTTTGTTGATACAGTTGTTATTCATGAAAATGTGGGACATTTCCAGGAATAAACGTTTGGAAAGGTGTTTTCTTTATCAAGAACTTTGATACTTGTGTAATTCATAGAATGCCCTGTTGTGTTAACATGAGATGCTAGAGCGCATCTTTCAGGATGAAGCCTAGCATCACTTTTGTGTGATGTAATCCTTCCTTTAAGAGATCTGGAGGTCTGACCTATGTATATTGGTTGCAGTTGTTGCAATTGATGAAGTAGACTGTGTTGGTTAAGCCAAGCAGCGGGACTTTGTCTTTCATTTTGAAAAAATGCAGTTTATAGTGAGGACGGATTTGCAAGCAATTCGAAAGTTCAAAGGACTGCACAATCTGATCAGCTTAGGGGTCAGTTCCTTGATGTAGGGCAGGACAGCAAAACCAGGTCTGGAGTCCGGGTTGGTGCTAGTACTGTTAGGATTGATGTTATTATTGGGAATTACATCAGTTCCGTTATTAGGGGTTGTGCGACTGTTTTTTTTTTAATCTGTTTTAAACTTGTTCTTGTCATGTTTGTATAAATTTTGACTATTGTGCAATCTATTCAGCTCTCACCATGTTACTGGACGTTTCCCTCATCCTATACGTAAACAACAATAGCAACATCCTCACATACTACTGTAAGTTGAGTCAATTTAAATTCATTTTACACCTTTGTTGCTACTGTTATCATTGTAATTGCAGCTCCTGATGATGATGGCAAAGTCCATTGAAAGCTAGAGAGAATTAAAAAAAGTATAAAGAGTCCTCTTTGCTTAAATCTTGTCGAAGTACCCAACAAAAAGCGGAAGCTTTAATTTTTCACCTATATATATATATATATATATATATATATATATATATATATATATATATATATATATATATATATTCAGTCTTAAAATTTTTCAATATTTTAGAATTTCTAAGATTGGAAATTTTCAAAATTTTTATTATTTTAAAGATTTTAAAAATCTTGAGATTCTTAATAATATTTTGAATATTTTAAAAATTTTGAAAGCATGAAAATTCTTAAAATTCTGGGCATTTTTTAAATTTCGGAAATTTCAAACTGTTAAAAGTTTAAGAATATTGCTCAAATTTTGAAAATCGTGCAATGTTTGAAAATCGTGAAAATTTTGAAAATCGTGGACGTTCTGAAAACTTCAATATTCCTCAAAATTTCCAGGGTTTATTAGATTATCAAATTTTTCAAAATTTCCAACATTCAGAACGGTTTTGCTATAGTAAAAATGTTCAAGGCCTCTAAAGCTCACAAAACTTTAAATCATATCAGGATTTCAAAATTTTTAAGAATCGTCGAACTCTTTGACACACACAGCCTATTTTGAAGTGGAAATGTTGAATCTCCACTTGAAGATCACATAAGGTTCTGCTATAGTTCATTCAAAATTCAAGAATAAACAAAACCTCAATTGACACAGCCTTCAAGGTCCTAGTCTTATCGTGAAGATGATAGAAATAAGATTGTAGAAATAATATGGCTCTTTTACTGTTCAATATTTTATTCATACATCATCATGATATATCTGGATAAGGTCCTCAATAAGTCCCTTAATCCTAACTTTAAAGGGCTCGTACTCCCAAAGTTTTTCAAGCTCAGGCACCTTATCAACAACATTGAAATGCCTCTCTCTCTCCTTATCACTTCGCATTTCTTTTCTGAAATCTTCAGGCATTAACATGACTTCACCATACATTATTGCTGTGCATATCATTGCAGGCTCAACATCTTTGCAAGATACCAGCAACTGGCCAAAGGTGAAGATATCTCCAATATTGATATCGTAAGAGCTCAATATATCGGTTAGCTCTTTGTAGTATAATTGTATCAAATCTTCCATATGTTCGAGTCTTGTAGCGCGATCTGTGTTGGTGTATAAAGGAACATGAGGTCCAATGACGGAGGGCAGTATCTTGTGATTTGGAAATCTATAAGGTATGCTGAAGGAGCTCCAGTGTCTTGGTCTTCCTTGTACATGATGTTCGCTGCAATGTAAGATATCCATTAGAAGTAGTCTCCCCAATTAAGCCTTCAGGCCCGGTTTTAGTGTTGACCCGCGCGGATCAAAGTTTAGGTGTAAAAAGCAAATTCGGCCAATACGGTGCTTCTGACGTAATGGACCTAATGGATTCAGTCCTCAAAGTTTCCCCTATTCTGTGTCACGTACGACTTCACCACGCTTCGCATTACCTTTATGACCATATTTAGCGACCCAAGTTTGTTCACTTGTAACACCTTGTGACGAAGATTAAAAATTTGCATTGAGAAGCAAAGCATTTCAAAAATTAAGTTCTTACCTCCCCACATGTCGCCATGATTCAGCACATTCCTAATCTTCTCAGATTGCTTGACGACCTCGTACATACCATCACATGCAGTCTTAACCTTTTCCTTGAGATTATCCATTTGTATTACCCTAGACACCTCTGGAAACTTTGATAGTAAGTATTCGTAAACAGAGCGCTTATAGCAATCTCTGAAAGGCTTGTACTCTACATTTTCTATGAAAGCTGCTTCACAAGTAAGCTCCGGAAACTCCTCGTCCAGTCTCACTATCCTCCCAAATTTCTTACTAAGTTTTTCCTCGAGGACAATAGATGCTCCATGTAGCTTTGCTAGTAGCTTGATTGTTGTAACTAGCCATTTATAAGATACTGACACATGATAATTCCAAGAGCTGTAACCATCTATTGAAATGTCTTCAAATACGATCATGTCGTTTCTGGCAAAGCAACACTTTGGACAAAAGTCGGTCAGGTCTTCCATGCCAAACTCCTTGAAACATGCCAGCATGGTTTCAAAGAAATAACGTTCCTTTTTGAAAGGAAGTATCGCAAATGCCGATATTACTTCGTCATCTTTGTCAATCATCTTTGCGAATAAGTTATGGGTTTGTATCTGTTTGTCATGTTTAGCTGTAAGTCTTATCTTAAAGTACTTTCCAAGATTCCCAGGTAAACCGTTAGCCTTTACAATGTCAAGACCAATCAGTTTAGCTTCTGTCGATCTATAGATATTTTCCAGTATCAGATAACATTCTTCTCTGTATAGCTCTGGAAACATGAATATTCTTCAACATCTAATGCTGATTTCTCAATATCAGCTAATATTTGATCTTTGGAACGGTGACGATGATGCAAAGTAGCAGGTAGTTTTTCTTCTTCTTTACAGAGCTGATGATATAATATCTCCACCTTTGCGTATGGTAGAAATAACCTAACTTGTGCTCTGAATTGCTCTTTGTTCACTCCATAGTCAGACAGAATCCTTTTGTGATAAAATGATTCAGTTAGCTCATAGAAATCCTCATAGGTCTCTAGGTGGAAAAACATCTCACACAGGAAGTCATACACAGCTGGCACCCTGACGTTGTATCGCTTTTGCTCAACATAAAAATCTTCCCATATACCTCCTGCTTGAGTTTTTCAACGTCTAGCTCTGCCAACTTCATTATACTATCTTTGAAGTCACCTTTGCTCAGTCTTTTCAACGGAATTTTGGGTATGTTGCTTGCAATATATTCGAACTTTTTTTCATCTATGAATGTAACATCTGGTTCCCAATCGAGGAGCACGACGTGGTTTTCGGAAACCGTACCTATCAACGTCATTTTGTTAGAACAAACATTCGTCATGTTGTTGAGAAGACCGCGATCTCACTGCCGTATGACTAATTTATATTTCAGTTTTATCACCGCGTTCGTAGTACTTTTATAGTATAGGCGATCTATGTCGCTTCCTGGTCTGACATCAAATCTATTAGACAAGTCATTATAGGCTTTCAACATTACGAGCTTTATCAGTGTAGTGCAGAATAAGCGTAATCTCATACAAGCAATAAAACAGCAATGTAATATGATGAAATATACAATTTCAAAAGAAGTCAAAACACCAAGCTCATCATAGCTGAGACAGATCTTTATCCTTCTCACTGTCTAACTACCACAAGAAGAAAACGTATTAATTTGGTACTTCGAACTAGACAGGTCATTTCCTTTAATATTTAGATCTTTAGGCATTAACATCTCGGCTATGGTGACAAACCCGATTTTGCTATGGACAGGCGTTGAGGCAGAAGGAATATGGGTAGCTGATGCTCAAAAACAGATAAATGTCACATTATGCGTGATCTGCTGCTGATAGGGCGGCACTCGTATTACGTAACCTTAGTCTATCGATTTTTAATGAAGTTATCTAGGTTTTTCCCACAGATTATTAGGTACACTAGTTTCTCTGAAGAAAAAATGCCACCTTGGGACCAGCTGACATTCGGCTTATGCTAACCTGTAGTAGCTGTGTGTGTTGAGAGATGGCACTATTGGAGGCCATTTATAGCTGCTAGGGCCTGCTGTGAGGTGTAAGCTTTATACAATCCATTTGATCTACGGTATTTTCTGGTTTCTCTTGTTAGTTTACGTCTAATAGTGAGAAATTCCTACCGCTTCTGTGCTATTTCATTGTTGTTTCTCTCACTGCAAAATTTTTGTGGACCGCATCGAAGGTGTCATGATGATATCCTCCAGAAGTTGAACGTTGTTTTCACTTGCGGATCCTGTATATCTACGTATACGGTATTGAAAATTGATGTCCATATAGGATGTTTTGATTCTTCTGACAAAGCCAGCCGATTAGAGTTGACGCTTGGCGTTTTTCACACCGCTGATTTTTTGCCAGGCATATAAGTGAAGGTACATGACTTGACATTTGACCAATAGTGAGGCTCATGCTGCTAAGCAAGGTGCGGAATAATAAACTCAGACGAAGGAACCAGTATTCAGCTTTTCCTTACAGTAAATATACATAAGCACAAATGTGTGTGTATGAAAACGAGAATAATATAATAATGAATTCCAAGAATATGTAACGCAGCGCCGCTACCCGTCATGAAGAAATGTATGCAAGCGTTACCTTGGTGGAATTCGTAACGAACGACGGGTATTTAGTGAGTAGTTCGCATTCTGGAGAATCTCCACTTCGGGCAGAAGAGACTGACAGGGTAGTGTTGTCGAGCGTTTCTTCAGATGATTCGCCATGAGGAAACTTTCCACTATCCAGGAAAACTACCTTGGTATTGCCGGTATAATATGTTTTACAGGAAACGAAAAACGTTTTGTATTGAAGTTCGGCAGCTAGCAAGAACTATAATGCTTGGGCTATATTTGTTTTTATATAAGCTCAATTAATAATGCCAGTGCTTAGATGATTCACAACGATGTAGTGGTATACGCAGTTATACAAATTTGTGCAAGTTCGAGTGAGAATGATTTGCTGAAATGTTATCATTGAATCATTTATACTTGCTTTGTAGCATTTTACTAGTGATAATTATTGAGATCCATTTTTAATTGTTTAATTGTTTTGAGGAAGCATATACGTGTACATGGTGTTACAAGGTGCTGTCAAACTAGGACCAGCACATTGCACTGAACTTAATTCTGCTTCCTCCCGAGAAATGTTTTCTGTATAGTATAGTCTTCGGTCTAAGAACATCCCAACGTATTTGGCATGGTCTGAATGCGGTGATAAATGTGACCATAACTGTTTTTTTTTTCAAATCAGGGTTTTTCTAAACCTTCAAAATTCCTATTGCCGTCGTCAACCGAATGGGTAACTTCAAAACCAACTCAACTCCATATTTTGTCCAACGTGCTACTTTTAACATGAAAACGCATCATCAAAGGTGGATGCATATATTAGGTAAACACGACGTAGGACACTTCATTCCTTTCCCTTCAAATAACATAGTATAATGCACGTTTAGGGTAAAAACATCGTCATATATTTGCGTGGCTTTTGCACGCACTACTCGACGGCCGGTACTTGAATGGGTCAGAAATCCACTACCCCAGAATTGTTTCATTTTTTTTTTACTTACTACAAGAGTAAGATTACAGGCCTAATACGCCTGGCCCAAATTCACTTGTTTAACGAGTTTTATTGTTTCCTATGAAAACCAATGACTCAATCCTTTTCATTATTATGACTGACCTGACAAGGTTTTTTAAATATACACTAAATAGTTATACGGGGTTAGAAAAACCAGAACGGTGGATTATCTCAGCAACCGTCAAATATAAATGAACCAAACTTGATGCGAATGGGTAGCCCAACATGAAGAATTCAAAAATTATATTTGCAAGGTGGTCAAACTTATATTTTTCTCTCTAGACTGGGGAATTTTAAAATTTTAAATAAAATACCGTAATTTTCGTTGTTGTAATCAATTGCCTGTATCATATTTATTATGACCTGTTATTATAATTTTCTTACTCCTGTCAATTCCGGAAATATGGCTTCACGCTTTGTTTCATTCCTTGCACTTGCATCTTAGTAAGAAATCATCCGTTTGTTTGTTTTTCAAAATAAACAAGAAGGCGTGTTATTCATCTGTTTGTAATATCATGGAGACTTCAGAATCATAATAATTAGAAATGTCAATATAATTCAAAAGTGACAAATATTGCGGGCGTTATGGCATTTGTACCTAACGAAAAACAGCGAATTGAAATTCTTATTTTTCGAGGTTATGGAGATAAACGAAGATCTTACGAAGAAGTGTGCAATTTGATTAATGCGCTCTATCCCGAAAAACAAATTAAAAATCCACTATCTGCAGGACAGTAAAAAACTTTCTTGAAACCGGCAGAGTGAAAAGAAAACCTGGATGAGTGAGACCGAAAGCTGCTACTAGTGATGAGACTAAGTTAAATGCCCTTTTACAACTCAAAGAACACCCTAGGACAACTACCACAAAGTTAGTCCTTAATTTGCGAATAATTCAGAAATCGGTCAAAAATATCTTGGCCGATGAAAAACTCAAACCCCACAAAATCATTCACCTCCACCAACTGCAAGAAGATAATCCAGACCGTCGAGCTCAGTTTGCTCAAAGTATGATGGGAATGATAAACAACAACCAAGTCACCTTCTGTTTAAATGGACGGCACAATTGCAGAATCTCGAGTAAAGAAAATCCTCACTGGATGTCGGAACTTGACACTCAATACCCGGAAGAAGTTAATGTTTGGGCGGGAATTTTGGGCAACCATGTCATTGGTCCATTTTTCATTAATGTCAATTTGACGGAACAAAAATATCTTGACCTCCTTAGGCAACACATAATACCCGAAATTAGTAATTTAAATAAAAATATGGACCAAATTTGGTACCAGCGTGATGGAACTCCAGCTCATTTCTCCAGAGGGGTCATCGAGTTTCTGAATAACCAATTTCCAGGAAGACGTGGCATTCTGGAATGGCTACCTCCCTCCCCAGATATAAACTCACTAGATTTCTTCCTTTGGGGTTTTCTGAAGTGCAGAGTCTATAAGATCGGCCCAACGACGGCTCAAGAACTTAGGCAAAAGGTTTTGGATAAAGCCACACAAATTACTCCACACATGTTACCGAATACTTTGGCAGAATTTTAAGATCGCCTCGAATATTGTTCAGACAACGATGGTAGCCATTTTGACCACCGATTATATAATTAAATTTCCTTATTCCCTTTCTCTGAGTTTTTTTATATAGAATCTTGGAAACATCGCAACAAATGCAATTCGTAAATCTGGAATGTCCAGTTACTCATCTGAGGTAATTTCGACGAATTCCGGTTGGATCGGATTCGAGATAATTGTCCACTTGTTATCGTTCTTGTATTCATTTCGAAAGAAGCATGATGCCATATCTCCGAAATTGACAAGAGTTAAGAAACGATAATATCAGGTCATAATAAGGTTGATACAGGCAATTGATTACAATAATCAAAATAAGAGTATTTCTATTTGAAATTTAAAAATTGCTCAATCGGGAGAAAACTATAAAATTAGCAACCTTGCAAATATAATCTTTGAATTTTTACTGTTGAGTCACCCCTTCGTACAAAATTTGGTTCATTCATATTTGACGAGATAGAATTAAACAACACGTTTCTTGTAATTTAAATTTTTTGTTGTATGTACCTTCAGAATATCAAGACATGCAAAACTAAAACATGTGGCGTGACCATAAATTAGTATTTAGTTGCTATTATCAATAAGAAGCGACGGAAGTATATAAATAATATGATCTTTTGTGTAAGTTATACAGTACTGCTGCTAATCTCAACAAGCTAATGCCATGAAAAAATGTTATAGTGTCTCGAAGCCTTATTTGGAGGATGTTTGGATACACAGGTACAAAAAAAATAAAAACAATATTAATGTTTTACTGTATTGCCTTATTGATTTCTTCATTTTCGCAAACCCTCATAAGATCTTCTATGAACCATCCCATCCTCTTCCTAAGTGGTTCATAGTCCCAAACATTATCCAGTTCAGTTCCTTTATCTCCACGTAGGAACTTGCTTGCTCTTTCTTTGTCGGCCATCATCTCTTCCTTGTACTTCTTCGGTAGCAATAGGTAGTGACCGTACAACACACATTTGCAGATCATGGCAGCTTCAACTTCCTTGCAAGATTTGACAAACTGGTCGAAAGTGAAGATATTAGCAGCATCGATATCTTGAGAGTTCAATATTTGGGTCATTTCTTTGTAGTAGAGTTCGGTGAGGTGAGTCATGTGTTTTCTCCTGGTGGGGCCATCGGAGTTGACGTAGATCAAAAAGAGAAGATCTTGAGCTGGTGGGCAGTACTTGATGAATTGGAAGTCTATGAATAATACTGACGCAGCTTGGCCAGCTTGGTCTTCTTTATACATGATATTAGCTGGAAAAGAGTAATAGGTTGATTATAAAATATGATAAGGAAATAAATTCATACAGAATGAACCATATTTTATCAGAAAAGGTCGTATAAACGAGTCCTAAAAAGCTGTGTCCTTAGGAAACAGGGCGTAAAAGTTTAAAAGAAGAATTGCTTTTCTATTAAGATCGATGTGTCTGTTTTATTGCATTTTGGCGGTGTTACTCAATGCAGCAAGACTACCTCGAAGATAATTATGAATTCCATGACCTTGCGATTTCATTGTGTTTGATAAATATTTAGTAGGTTTAGCATTAAAGTGTTTGTTGTACCATATTATTAATCAGAGTCGGCGACGGTATACTTTGCACGTTTCCAAATACTAAATCGCTCACATCTCGAAAATATTAATTTTAGACAAAAGTGTATTACAACCTTTTTCTTATAATGACCCAGAAAGTCTTAAAAGGCTTTTATACCCTCTCTCGGGCAGACAAGTTCGACATATTCCTCCTACCAGCCTTTCCTGCTCGGAGTGTGAGATCCTCCAAAATATTTGCCTAAGCATCTCATCATTACTGCATTTTGTCTTGATGGGTAGTGTCGCGTAAATTGTGCTTACCTCCCCAGATATCGGCATGATTCAGCACATTTCTGATGGTATCAGATGTTTGCATGTTATACAGCTTCTTACAAGCACTATTTATCTGTTCCTTCAAATCCTCATGATTCTTGGTGTTAAATAGGTCAGGAAACTTTGACAAAGTGTACTCAGATATACTGCGAGCAAAACGATCTCGGGTTTCTCTGTACTCGCCTTTTTTATGAAATAGGGTTTCAACTACAGTCTCAGGATATTCTTCATCTATTTTTACTTTTCTTCCTAATTTTTCACTTAGTTTTTCCTCAACAATAATTGACATCGCATGGAATTTGGCCATCACTTTGACCGCTGCAAACAGCCATTTATACGATACTGGTATGTGGAAGTCGCAGGATTCATACCTATAACAAAACCACTGATGTCGAACTGTTCTAAAAAAGTCTCATAAATCAAGCACAACCCAGTCGCTTCAGACGCTCACATCATTAAAACTAGGTAATATTTTATATGCTGTTTCAGCATTTTGAAAAAATAAGAAATTTGAGAAATTTTAAATTTGAACTGAAATCGTTTTTATCAGATGAATGGTTTTATACAATCGACGAGTTTTTATAACACAAGCTCAAGTATAATTAAATATTATCCAATATATTTGCTTATTTATCTTTCTCTTTATATTGAACTGCTATATACAGGATGTTCATTTCAAAACCTCCCACTACGGATTTATCGTAAACCACTGATTAAAAAGAAAAACGCCGAGAAATGTCAAAAGATTTGTCAAGGGGGACAACTTTTTAACCAAAAACTACTTCACCTCCTTCCACCCTCTCACCCAAGAAAATTGTAAAAACCTTTTTTTATCTTAATTTGTTCAGATAGAAAACAAAGACACACAAAAATATCATTTTTTATTTCAATAAGTGTTCAAAATGTTGCCCGCTATTGTCCAAACAATGATATAGGCGATGTTCAAATTCCGGGCGGACATTTTCAAAAACACGTCGTGGGACATCATGGCAGCTTTCGATGATACGTTGACAAAGTTTGTCCAAACTTTTAGGTTGGGGAGTACACAAATGTCCCCATAGAAAAAAGTCTAATAGCGCCAAATCAGGAGATCTAGCAAGCCATTCTATAGGCCCTCTTCGGCCTATCCATTTATCGGGAACCTAGTCGTCTAGCCGTAGCCGAGCCGGCAGGACATAATGAGGAGGAGCGCTGTCTTGCTGGGCATATACTAAGTGACATATAAATCCGAACACCCAGTTTAAATGGTTTTATTTTAATAAAATTTTGTATAAGTACTTAATGAAGCATAATAAGTAAATGATAAAAATTTCAAAATGATTGCACTGCTTTAAAGCCCTTTGACCTTTAATAATATGTGGATGCACCCTGATGTGCTACGCATTCTCCAACGCGCCTAGGCATGCTTCTGATCAGGTGGTCAATGTCCTCCTGTGGTATCTCATTTCAGGCAACCACCAACTCCTCTCGAAGTGCTTCTAGAGTCTGAGGAGGACGTTCCAAATTGAGCAATCTCCTACCCATCATATCCCACACGTGCTCAATTGGGGATAAGTCGGGAGATCTTGGTGGCCATGGTAGCAATGTGACATCATTATGTTGAAAGAAGTCTATTGTGACTCTTGCAACATGTTATCTTGTTGGAAAGTTGGATCTGCCAGGGTGTCAAGATAGGGTAAAAGATGGGGTTCTAGAACTTCGTGGATATAACGCTGCGCGTTCATGTTACCTCTGATGAAGATTAAAGGTGACCTGGAACCATAAGCTATAGCACCCCAAACCATAACTCCAACAGTGTGATGAACATGTCTTTCAACAAAAAACTGTGGATTCCTCCTTTCACCACGTCGCCTTCTAACCCTGGCACGACCATCGTGCATGCCTAAACAAAATCGAGACTCGTCACTTAAGACAAAACTGTTCCATTCCTGATCCCAGAGTGACCGTTGTCTGCACCACTCAAGGCGATTACGTCGGTGTTCTCGAGTTAAAGGGAGGACCCAGTGTGGCCGGTATGAAAACAAGCCAAAACTTCTCATTCGTCGGTAAACGCTTCGCAAGCCAATAGGTCTTCCGTGTTCTGCAAACCATTCATTTGCAATGGACCTGGTAGTGGAGAAACGGTCCCTTAAGGCCAACAATCTTAGGCGGCGATCTTTACGGTCTGTTGTTCTACGGCGGCGTCCAGTGCCCCTTGCTCTTTGCGTACGGCCTTCTCGATGCCATGCCTGACAACACCTAACCACAGTGTCTACACTTCTTTGCACTCTAACTGCAATTGCCCGAAAAGAATGTCCAGCTTCCCGAAGTCCCACTATACGGCCCCAATCAAACTCACTAAGTTGACGAAATCGTACAGGTCTCCGTACTCTAGGCATCGTAACCGATCGTAAAGGATGTCAAGAACCAAAATCCGCCAACGTTGATTCTTTACTGCGGCTGAAATATTCAATTTTAGAGCGTTAGTGAATTAAAAAAAGCAGTATAAAACCGGAATGTCCAACTGATAAGGCTGAACATTTTTTCACTTGTTATTTACAGTAAGATAAATACATTCACCAACTTTTATTAAAATAAAGCCATTTAAACTGGGTGTTCGGATTTATATGTCACTTAGTATATATTTCAGCCTTATCGAGTATAGAGTTTCCATCTGCTTCGATTTGATTTTCAATTCAGTGATAAGCGGATTGATGGTAGCTTACAACATATCCAAGTAAATGTCTCCATTCAAATTTCCATTAATAAAGAATGGCCCAATCACTTTGTCTCCTAAAATGCCCGTCCATACATTAATTTTTTGGGTGTACTGGGTATGGCCTTCTACAAAAGCATGATGATTTTCATTGGTTCAATACCTGCAGTAATGCTTATTGACAATTCCATTTAGATGAAATGTGCATTCATCACTGAAGCAGATCTCTACATGAATGGTAACATCATCAATCGCAGCAGTCATTTGATCACAAAACAACTCGCCTATCGAAATCATCTTCAGTTGACTTTTGCAATATTTTCATTTTGAATGGATGAAATTTATGGACTACAGACTATACTAACCGTGTGTACAAATCCTAATAAAATGCCAGCCACAGCAACAATTTTGCGTAATGAGGAATTAGGATTGATTCCGAAATGACCCAAGGCTTCAACTTGAGCGGCTTAATCCAAAACTCTCCAATGATCAGGTTTTTTATTTGCAAAAGATTCAGTTTTAGTAAATTTAGTAACAAGGTTTAAAACATACCTGTCAACGCCAAACAAAGTGGCGTGCACGTCATCACGATAAAAATTCCCCGACCTAATGCCTAGGTTTCTATCACAAACAATTGCTCTATTGCAGTTTCATATTAATGTGATATATAAATTGTAAAATGGTCATTACTCTCTTATTATGGTTAATAGTCATATAAACATTGTTATTAAAATATCACATAAGTTGCTTTCTGATAAATTTAGACGCATTATGCGAAATAAAATGTTTTGCAAACGCTCCAATCACTTATCGACATGTAAACGCACTAAACCGATTTCGCAGCGTTGACACATTGTCATCTTGAAACTTATTTAAGCTTGGAACTGACATTTGTATTAATTTTGACACTGAATCAATTTGTGGCATTTCAAATCTTTATAAATCCTTTGGCCCCGCATACTGTAAATCAACAACTGTTTGTTTCAAAACAAAATTATTCATTTTACGAGTAGATAAAGGCAATTTTGGTATATAAAGATGCCCAAACAGTTAAATAGTCGGTGTAAGGAACTCGTGGCCTCGTTAATGCACTACTTTGAGCAAGAAAGGGACAACAACGGGCCTTTATTGCCTTTAAATGCTGTTCAAGAGGTAGGTTACTAATAATTATATGTAATGTATATTAATAATAGTGAAATTTTATTTCATTTTTTGTAGCGTGTTGCTGCTGCTTTAAAAATTAGTTTAAGGACAGTTAGTCGTATTTCCGAGGGTGTGAAAAGTGATGCAAATTTAGAATCGCCCAAGAAAAAGCGGAGTTATATTAAACGTGTAACCAACACAGCGACATTGGATACAAGTGCCATTCGAGAAGTGATCTATAATATGTATCACAAAAGTAAGATCTTATTATAATAACTTATCAGAAATTTGCATTAATTTGTTAACTAAATTATAATGTCATATTACACATGGTTTCAGAAGAACAAGTTACGATACAAACTTTATGGTCTCGATTAAGAGATAGGGCATTATTTGATGGTAGTGCCACGTCTTTAAGGCGGTTGCTTAGAGATCTTGGATTTAAGTGGCTTAAGGACAATCCGCGACGAGGGCTCATGGAACTACCAAGTATAGCTTTGAAAAGGGTGGAATTTCTAAGGCAATACAATCAAGCCAAGGTTGAGGCCTTATACCAGTTTGTCTTCCTCGATGAAACCTGGATATTTCAAAATGGGACCATAGGTCGCTCTTGGCAAAATGGAAACCAAAAAAGCGTGAAAGCTATTAAAACAGATGGTAAAAGGTATGTACTTTTACACAATTTGCACTATAAAATTTAAAACTAATATATTTTAGATACATTATATTACATGCTGGAAATGAAAATGGGTTTATCGAGGGTAGTGAAGCGATATTTTCTTCGAAAACAAAATTGAGCGATTACCATGGAGAGATGAACCAGGACAATTTTTTGAAATGGTTTCAACTTCAGTTATTAGAAAAATTGGAGAGTCCATCTATGATTATACTGGATAACGCCCCTTATCACAGCATGATATTGAACAAAGTGCCCAACAATGCATGGACAAAAAAAAATATCCAAGACTGGTTGACAAATCAAAACATACCATTTTTAAACACAATGTTTAAAACAGAGATATTGAGTATTGTTGCTCGGTACATAATGCTTCTTAATTATATATATTTTGGTCGACAGTTTATATTTCTTTTGTTTATTCCTATTCTTAAAATAACTGCTTTTTTAGAAACAAACCACCTAAAATATACGTGATTGATGAATTGGCGGAACAACATGGGCACAAAGTTCTTCGTCTGCCTCCTTACCATTGTATATTTAACCCTATTGAGTTAATTTGGGGCATAGCAAAAGGTTACTATAACAGACATATTGGTAGAGATGGTAACAGTGAAAAAGACTGTTTGGATATGTGGAACGAGGCTCTACAAACGGTTAGCCCAGACATGTGGAAAAATAGTGTTCGACATACTGAGCAAGAAATTTTTAAATGTTATGAAAGAGAACGAACTTTTGATCGACCAGACATCGAACCTTTAATAATCAACTTTGAGAGTGATGAAGATTCAGATTCAGACAGCGCTGAAGAAAGAAACTCCGACTAACTTTATTGTACAGAAAAAGCTTACACCAGTAGCTTACCTAATTTTAGAATGCATTTTTCTGTATGAATTCTGTAAAATAAATACCATGCATAAAATTTGGAGGACCCCATTTGGATTTTTATTCAGTACCTTTAAGCTATCAATTAAATATGGTAGTTTCATAGTGTCATCTGATCAATAATTGTCATACTTAATGATTATGCAAGTACAGATCTATAATTTTATTATACTATTATTTTTGTTCTCATTTGAGGTTAATATTGCTTATAAACCTAGATATGTAAATAATAAATTTTATTATTTTACAAAAAGTTTGGCAACAATGTAAATTTTTCAACACACCCACCTTGATGACGTGCACGCCACTTTGTTTGGCGTTGACTATATGCGAAGTTATCTTCCCCGGATACTGGCGGTAAACGTGACGGCAGTTTGCCGAGCACATTGATTATGGTCACCATAAATTAGAATCATTTCCACTCTTTCGGCTATTGTGTAAGCCATTTTGGAAGTAAAATGTGAGTCAATAAATTTATTTTCACTATTCCAAGATTGTCACATAAGTAAGCAAATTAAATCATTTCTCTCCCTTAGCAACAAATAACCAAACAGGTATAACAATATACAGTTCGCCCAGGAAATCTGTGTTGATGAAATTGATTGAATGAGGAAAAAATTTGGGTTGTTATTTGGTTGTTGCCACGTCTAATCTTACGAATTGCCGCCATTTTAAATTATAAGAGAACTGTAGATTTGGAAAACCCTGACGGACAACATTATGAACACTTACTGAAGTGAAAAGTGATATTTTCTGAACGAATTAAGACAAGCAAATATATCTAATTTTCGCTAAAACGAATCGACTGATTTTAAAAAACCAAACGTCAAAATAAAGGACTTTGAAAGACCTTTTAAACAACCTATTACTCGATACCCATTGTCATTTAAAATTTTCAAGGTAATGGCCTGGTAGTGGTTTTCGATATATAAGTGGTGAGAAGTTTTCAAATGAACACCCTATATGGGTACTTATGTATCAACAAGGCCAATATTTACTACCACTGCTACTACCACTACTACTAATACTACTACGGAATTGTTATCTCAGTTTATATTTATACCGCATCTTTGGCATATGAGCCCGACGTTTCAGCACATGATAGTTTGGTACTAAAATCAAAGTTAGCAGCATAACATATAGTACAATACTTCTACTATTATGGAAAATTGAACAACTGAAGAATGGTTTGTTTATCGTTCCTGGCATGTATAAATATCCCAGTAAGGGAACGCTGAATGTTCCCAAATCTGACAAAAATTCTATTATAGATGAAAATTGGCTCTGTTTGCGTTGCCACGCTTGACGGGTTAAGTATCGGAGTATTTTGGGGGTTATGAAAAATGGTTTTGAAATTATTATTCACCTGTTGTTAACTAGTGACTAAAACAAATTAATTTGTGGCAAAACTGAAAACTCAAATAACGGAGGTTTCAGCAATTTAAACAAACAATGCCTACTTCGTAATCTACCATTAAAAAAGCTTGACATATTGGCTTTACCCTTTGTAATGAAAGAAAACCGAATAAAACGATAGCCTTTAAGACTTTTGGCCGCAACTTTGCGATGAGTCATTTTAAAAAACTGTCAACTTAGTTGCACTAAAGTAGCAGCTAAACGTTTTGTACTTCGTAATTGAGCCAACCAAAGCTGGAATTTTATAAAAATGTAAGCATAGCCTAGGCGCATTGTAGTTACTTGCTGTATGACTAAACGTATGCCGGGCCCTACGTATGACGGAATATACATAAGTCGGGAAATATAAGAACACAACATACTCAAAAAAACCTACCGTTGCGAAAACTCTGACTTTTTGTCCAAAACTAGGTATACAGAATATGAACTGAGCAAAAACCGATAATCGGGCCTAACCTGAATTGCTTGAAACCTGTTACATACCCTTCTACTGACAAGTCATCGAGCAACAACATCTCATTGCTGACTAAGTAACACTTTGGACAGAATTCTGCAAGCTTCTCCAAGCCAAGTTCCTCGACTTGTTTCATGATCTTTTCAAAAAATACTCGTTCCTTTTTGAAAGGAATTTGGTAGAAACCAGGATAACCCAATGCATTTGCATCGACGAGTTTTGCAAATAAGTGATGAATATTTGTTTTTCCATCATTTTTTACGGTTAGCTTGAGCTTGAAGTAAGTTCCCAAATTTCCGGGAAGGCCTGGAGCTTGTACCACATCTAAGTGAATTAGTCTTGGTTCACTTGATTTGTAAATGTTTTTGAGAGCAGCGTAGCAATCTTCTCTCAATATTTTTGGACATAATAAGCATTCTTCAAGTTCCAGTGCAGCTTCCAGAATATCGTCAGCTTTACACTACAAAATACCTAGAGTTAGTTCCTATCAAACATTTATTACCAATGGAGACCAAATGGAATCAAAGAAATACAACACATTTTTGGGAACGGTGTGTTTATTTGAAATAAGGCACCAGGTGCGGATTTGATTTTTTAAAGGTCATGCTTTATCGTGGAACGCAATCATGAAATTTGTTCAACGCGTTACGCATAACAAGCAAAAGCATAAACATTTCCAATTTTATTTACTTCGCGACGTATATTTTTTCAAATTAGTATTAACGTAAAATTTATTCTTGGCGCACTCAACGGAAGCTAATGCACGTGCCAATGGTGGTGGTCATGGCGGTCACGCAATGTCATTCTACATAATCGTCGGATACCTTAATCAACTGATTTTGTGTCATTTTATCACAGCCACACTCTGGCTTCATCATCAGATGAGCTCTATGTCATATTAGACTTCCGCTTTAGTGGATCTATGCTTGATTTTACTATTGATACGCGGGATCAAAATCCTTGATGCGGATCAAAATGGACCGTCGGGATGGCGAGTTTTTAGTAATGGATCAAATAAGTAACTCCTTTTGTAACCAAATTTTCTAAATAAGGTGCCAAGTGTTTTTCTCCACCCACCCAGGAGCGAGATGTCATTTTTCGTACATCGTGAGATCGAACTATCGAACTTGATCTACATACAACTGCTACAGATTTCTTTAACGCTTGTAGCAAATTAAAATAGCAACTTTCGGGGTGGATACTGTGTAGTTACATTTATTAACATGTTCTTCATGCCGCTGATTGACCATAACACTGTTTTCCCTCTAATATTGACAGTTGATATATTTGTAGTGCTGCCACGCGCATAACAGTAAACATGAATAATATGTATTAACACACAAATGTTTATTTGAACAAATAGTAGTTGAACCTTGTAAAGTTTATTTTTCAAATTCTATTAAAAGAGTCGGAATGGAGTGCATTACTACCAGTCTATTCTGTGTATCTACCGCGATTTCAGCTTCGCGACTTTTCGTTGAACAATCTGAGGTGGTAGGTAGCACTGGACAGTTCTGTGACTGGACAAATGAGCTGACTAAGGCAGATTCGACTTCGAATATAATAGAGATTTTGCTGTTTCCCTTATCTTACCCAAGAAACGTATATTTCATACGTTGTATGCATACTTTTATCAAAAATATGATTATATATCACGCACACACAGAGAATGTGTGTGCCAAACTGGTTGATATATCTAAAAATACGAGTACATTAGTCGCCAATTTAATCGACAATCGACAATTTAAATGGAGGGATTTGATTTCTTGTGAACTGTCATGATAATCAAGGGTGATTATAAATTTTTTGCTCGATTGCTTACGGTAACCGGTTCAATATTACGTTTCAGGATATGTTCCACACTTACATACTAACAAATAATAAGCTAAATAAATGTTTGTAAAAGGAAAGCAAAGTTAATTAATAATTAGGTAATCGTCCAAAAAACCTTTTTGCAAGGTCGTACTTAACAATGCATCGGTAAACATACGACAATCGTTTACTTATCTTTTTCAGGATATCAAAATGTGAAAAACTTGTTGATGTAGAATACCATAGGTTACCTCAGTTAAGGTCTAATGGTATGTAGGATATAATACTGAAATCAGTTGATCTGTTGCGAATGAGAGTATACCACGTGTGATTGACATAAGACTTTCACATCGAAAGCTTGAACTACGTGTATCAGAAAAGAGTATGCCAAACCTGCACCTTTATTTAGTAGACAGAGTGACCTGACGGTTATAACTTTTCTTTTCAAAATGGCAATTCTTCCATTTAGGAAAAGGAATGAATATGAGAACACAGATTTGTAGAAACTTTGTCTACGATATCCACACATGCGACTTCAAGTCGTCGTGATTGTATTCCAAGACCACAAATTTCTGTTCGATATTTGCAACTTTCGGGGTTGTATATGCCGTTCACTGTGCCCACCTCGACGTTCTTTCACACGGCATATGCCATTAGCTCTTTGAACCAAAACTACAAAACAAACATGATCTGAATATGCCTCCACAGCATCTTGAGGACCCTGACCAGAACCATACCGATAGGTTCTTTATTGTAATAGGAGTCTGCACGTCTCTATTTTGCGAACGTGTTTTGGAAAAAACAGTCGGCTAATCAAATTAACGGCTTACTAAATAGGTTCACATTTATAGGAAAAAAGATTTGGTGACAACAGATGCAGAAAAGTATATTTTTGGTCAAAAAAAAAATCATTTTTGAAAACTGTGGCATTGTGCGTTATTCAAAAAATGTTGTATTCCAAACGTAATTTAAAAGTTGTTTGCCTTATAAATATACAGGCTGACTTCGAAGTTGAGTCATTTATTTTAACAGTGATTAGATCTGATCAAAAGAAATGTTTTTCCTTTAACATTTTTCTGGTAAAATTAAAGTCACAAAGTTAGAGCCCTTTAGAAGTTGAGTACCGCCCTGTCTCAATAATAATATTATGTGCTCGTGTTTGGCTACAACGGATATAATCCGCCTTATCGGTTCATCGCATCGGAAACAAAAAAGCGAAAGAATTTGAAACGATGTTTTTACTACAATTTTATTCAGTTATATTCAGTCAATGTGTCAGTCGGTAACGCGTGAGTGAATAGTGGTGTTTGTTGCGTGGCTCAAACGAAATAAAAAATGGCACATGTTTACGAAAATACTGAACTTGTGACATGATTCTTATTTACGGGGGGGGAGTCTTTACAAAATGCTGCCGCGGCATCACGGATTTATGCGGATCGGTTTCCCAATCGAGTGCAACCAACCCCTCGTGCCTTTGTTAATGTAGTACAAAAGGCTCGTGAATCAGGTGACTTAAGCCCTCATAGGGGATGGCATGCCGCTGCTCCAAGACCGCACGATCAAATACAGGTCCGCACTGAAATACATGTCGGGAGGATACTTTATAAAACAAGGTAACATTTTTTTTTAATTTTCTTTTGATTTTTACACACATATTTTGGTTTATCTTCCTTCCACAATCATTATCTGAAAATTAATGACTCTACTTCTAAGTCACCCTGTATATCTCGAGCGTCGATTGTTAGTATTAAAACAGCACACTTCATGTAATTTGACGGACTCCTTATCTGCGCTAAAGGTATTTTTCCAGACAGATATGGAGCGAAATGCGTAGAAGTCCTGTATTTTCATTACGACTGAGTCAGAAAATCATCATGAACTTTCCTGAAAATCCACGAAGCCACAAATATATTTGTTTAAGAAGGACATAAGCCATTCAATACAAAACTGCATATCACACACACGTATTAAAATTATTTGCTGTCTACGACAGTCTTTCTTCGTGAAGATAATTAAATAAGTGGCTTGAAATCATTATCTAATGGTAATGATAAATTATCTATAAAGGCAGTAAAGTCATGAGCCGCTAATCCACTTGTTCGCCTTATTTACTCGCTCAAATTCATTATCAGAACTACAGCACTACTATCGGTCGGATGATAGTGTCTATCCAAAACCTTCTTTGTTTTCAGCATCATTAAAGCATCGATTGTCTTCACTATCGACTAATTTCCATTGGGCGTACATCTTGGGATTGTAAGTGGCTTATGACTTTCTTTGCGTAAAAATCTGTGGATATCGTGGTTGTTCAAAAAGACCAAGCAGAAATTGTAACAAAATACTCCAGCGATTTGTCATGAAAATCGGTTTCGGACAGATACCTACGCCACAGCTGCTTTTAGATGGAAATGTTCACCATTCTAATGATGGTTAGGTACCTTATTGCCCCAAGCCTTTCAAATACTGACGGGAGTCATGACTTCTCACTTGAACAACTGGTGAAATTCAGGGAACCCAAAATATTCTAATATAAACCAAACAATCTTCCTATGTACATACCTGATAGAACCTCTCCAGCTTTGCGTATGGTAAAAACAACTTCACTTGCAACTTGAATTCATCTTCTGTTACACCATGTCCTGACAACACCTTGTTATAGTAATCATCAATGATTTCATGGAATGACTTCGCTCTAGATTGAGGATCTAAATGGCGAAATATTTCACAGAGCAGATCATAAACAACTGGTTTCTTTACCCCTTCCGCTTCGATATGGTATATTTTTCCATAAGGTTTTTTATTAACTTCAAGCAAGTCAAAATCTAGTAGGTTCAGTATTTTTTCCACAAATTCAGCTTCGCCCAGCTTTTCCAGTTTGAGTTCCTTAGGGAGCTTATCCACGAACTCATGGTATTTATTTTTATCGATAAACAAACTACTCAGAGTGCATTCACAGAGTTTGCAATGCTTGCCCACAATTGCTTCTGATATACTACTCATCATGATTTTTCATACATCAAGTGATACAACAAAACAAAGACTGTTCTGAAAGCAGCTATGTCATTTATCTCGCCCACATTCGTGCGTTTGAACGATATACAAATCTCGCGATAGTTAAGGATAAATAGAAAACCTACAAAGTTCCGTCAGGCTACCCCTTTCGAAAAAATTGGGTAGAATATTTTGAGGTAAAATCCATATAAAAAAGTCACCCGGTTACACTTTCAGCGAGGTTCGACATTGAAAATTCTATAGTATTAGGAGGATGATGCTCCCGTTATTGGTATCTCGTGTGGTGTAGAAATCTACAACAGACCGTATTGTGGTAACTTATATTTTAGGACATATTGTAACCCCCTTTGCGTAAGACCACATTCAGGCCACAGTTTGAGTTATGTCATGTGTTGCTAAATCGTAGGCTAGGTATGTTGTCGGATTGTTGCCAGTTTTATTTGAGTTACGTCATATGTTGTTAAGTCGTAGGCTAGATATGTTGTCAGATTGATACCAGTTTTATTTACTTTACTTTACAGGAACTTTTTCTGTTATATTTGGATGTACTTCCTACCCCAGAATTACTGCCTTCTTCACCTGAACTATATCTAATTAAAGGACTATCATAATTGCATACCCGAGTATGTCCACATTACGATAACAAACAAATAAAATTTTGGTATAATGGTGTTTATAATTGAAATCTCATGGACTGTCTTTAATAAGAGGGGATAAAAAGTGGATTTCGGTACCTTTCCTAATGCTCATGTATTTTTCCGTGTATTCCACAAATGAAACATATAAAGGAGAGTTGCATATATGCATAATCTCGAATTAAAGATATGATCGGCTAATGGTAGATAATACATTTATTATCATTGTTACTATTTGCTACCAGTAATAATAATAATGATAATAATAATAAAAACAATTATTCCGCCTGTATTTACGACCTATAATTTACCCAAAAGCTACTCTTATATTTAATCCTTTGTAATATTTACTGTTGTTATGCCAAATGATCCGATATCAGGTATTATGTGTTCTTTCGAATAACTTACAGTAGATAAGCTAAGTAGTTCCATTGTTTTTTCCATTGTAGTGAACAAAATTCTCATAAACACGAGCAAAGACCACACAAATCATTGTGTAAATAATGATTTAAATTCTTGGCAGCTGAGTTATGTAATGACGAAGATTAAAGGACTGGGTTTGTACTGTGCAGCAAATGACTATACGAGTACATAGTTATATAGAAAACTGAAACTACAAAATTCAAATTATATAAATACTTTTCAGAATTGACTATAACTGTTATACACATATGATTGAATGTTAGTAAGATAACATCCTAAATTTTTCCATATCTATTTGCCAATTTTTAAACAACTTTGCCTCTTGTTGGGTAAATGTCATTATTACTATTAATATAATAATATCGTTTGAGAAATTTTAAGGGAATGAGCACTCCCGAAGATATATATTTTAGTTTGATCCACTAGAATGAGATAACCATCTCTTTGTTACATCTCTCCTAAATGGATGTCAATATTTGAAGGGACGATATTTCAGTCTATTTTGCGAAGAAAACTTCATACAAACATATGTTCCAAACGACTTTTGAGGTACAAGCTGGGGACGTTTTCAAAAATAAGTTATCTGACACGCCACTGACCTTCCTCAGAACGGAAAACAAATGATTTCTGTATTCATTCTTTTCATCCGACGTACGGCTTCCATCTAAAAAAATAAAATTGGTGTCTCTTCAATCACTGTCAAAACAGGCAGGTGGAATTCCGTACGAGCGGTGACTAATAAAAAAAATGTGGTACAACAATGCCTTTTGACCCAGTGCATATATATAATACATCTGAAATGGCGTTTCATATTGTGTGCATGATTTATTTTCAATGCTTCACCTCACTGTCAAAGTTAAGGCGTTTAGGACAAATGTTTACCCTGTATACAGAACGTTAGAAAAACAATTAAAGAAGCACAAAATCTTACGGGGCTCTCATACAACGGCATAAGCCCCTAAAATAACTACTGCCAACTTATAAGCGTTTGACGCAGCTTCAACTGATGGAGCCTCACAAGACGGTGTTAATAGGAAACGGTTAACTCACAAATCGCCAGTGGTGGAATATTCAGGGTAGGCTGTTCGACCCAGAAAAGGGCTCCTCGAAGGATCAATGACATGACAGCGCCCAACTAACAATTACCACTCCTATTAAAGTTGCAAGAATGATTATACAGTATTCCTTAAACAGCATTGTATACTGTAAGAGCATTGGCAAAACCCTCTTAGAACTGCTATACAAGCGGAATGGGCACACCTAATAGGACACTTCAGTCATTTAAGAGGTTGTATAAGGGCTTCAGGTAACAGTTATACAACAAACGTGTAAGCCTCTTGCAGCCGCTATAGGACATTTTCAGTTTTTGTCAACTATACAACTATTCTGTTACGTGATTCTACTTTATTGCAACCAAACTATTTCTTATGTATTGAATAGACGAAGAATAATATATAACTAATACATTACAGTCATCTTGTTTACTTACATACCAACCATTATGAATTTCATACACAGGTACATGATAAACTTCTACACTGTGATATAGGGCTATTGATTTACTTGAGCAGCTAATTTTATTGTGATTATCGTGCAAATTAGTTACGCAATTTCTACGGGCTTCGTATTTGATTTGTATTTTGATAATGGTCAAAAGTATGTCTAGACTTTTAAGATGGATAACTGAACTTATCTGCGTTAAATCTTCCACAAATCCTATATTTAGACACAATTACACTAATGTTTATCACTTTATATCTGTAATTTCGAACTGAAACATAATTATTTAATATTAAATAGAGGAATAAATGTTTGCCCAATATGGCGGGTGGTTGTGTATAATCATGGCATCGTCCATGTTGTCTTTAGGCTATTAGAATATTTTGGTGTTGCCTGCAGGTGTTATACAACAATTTGACAAATGTCTGAAATGAAATACCGACAGAGTCGAATGATTTACCCAGAATTTGTACCAGATCTATATCTTCTGTTTGAACAGTTGATAAAACATTTTGAACCAATATGCATGCGTTGTTTGTCTTAAAACATTGGTTATGGCATTTTAGCAAAAATATGACGGCAGAAAGTTAGATTATAGTGAAGTTGTATACCAACATATTTAGCATATGTACAGCCTTTAATAGTTACTAAACAACAGTTGTATAAGTGCTTCCGTTGGGAGCAATTTGTTGGCTAAGGCCCGTATCGTCAGTCATCCCTAAAATTGTAGGGCGCGTTTATGGCCTCCTTGATTGTGATACTGCTTTCTCTCCTTCAAAATTTCTAGATTACACTTGTCCCGTGTCAGCGTCAGCGCCCTCCTATTGTGAAGAAATGTTTTCTTTTTAAATTGTAGGAAATCTCAGGCTGATAAAGCTTGATATAACTCAAAAGCAAGCACAATTTAATTCAAATAGATGATTGTGACATAACCTCAAAATAGAGTTCTGACACGGAGAAGTAGAAAACTATGACAATCAAGGAGGCCATAAAGGCGCCCTACAATTGTAGGGACGACTGACGATACGGGCCTAAAGTAGTAAATTGCACATCAAAACAACAAGGCTCGGTTTTGTTTTATAAACGTTACCATGGATGCCACAACACAACCATTTTGACTAACGTGCAAATATGCCGTATAAAATAGTTGTATAAACGTTTATGCAACAGTTAAAAATTTGCCCTATAAGGTGTTGTATAACTATGCTATAAGGATATTGCACTTTAGAGCAAATATGTTGCAGAAAGCAAATTTGCATTCCACACAACATTAAGCCAGCATTTTGGTGTTCAGGCAACAACAATAGAGAGCTTTTATGGCTGAACGGTTCTTTTACCAAAAGCTTATAACACTACTTTGCTTGTTGGGCGTGATACTCAAATTCGTTTTTTAGATCCGAAACCTTGACCTACGAAAAAACCTGTCGGCCAGGCGGAGGCATAGGCATGTATTAGATCTGCCTTTCGTCTATATGACGAACCGAACACAACATTGATTCACGCTTTACAGCATATGGCTGTAGTATCTGCTTTATTGCGGTTCAATCCAATAAGTACATTTTAAATCGCATATTGCGATATTTTAGGTATTATCAAACCGGTAAAAGGCAGGAAGTTGAGAGGAAATACCTCTTCTACAAATTCGACCGTTGTTACGGTTCGAGCAACACCAGTGTAATGCATGTTGGTTTTAAACATGCCTATCTCGGAGAGCCGCCGATGAATAGCAATAAACTTTTTGTATCCCGGATGCTGTCGTTCGGGATAACGTTCTTGATACAACCACGCTGCTACTCGTGCAATGCAGCTTGTTGCTCCGTATGCCAAATGCATATGCGCCAACTCTTGATTGGTAAAGTTTTCCATTAGCAACAATTAATTTTTGTTAAATTCTTGCAAATTTCACAAATACGATAGCACGACTCAAAAATTATCCCTGTTATCGTTTTTAAAGGTAACAACACACAAGCGCCGGATATGGGTCCCTATACTCAAATGTTTTCTACTGTTACTACTTTGATCCCATAGTTCTGGAACACCCTGTATAAGTGAACAAAATTTTATGCGAAGGATTCAAAAATTATATTTGCAAGATTTTTTTTAAAATTTCAAATAAAATACCCTAATTTTTATTGCTGTAATCAATTGCCTGTATCAACTTTATTATGACCTGATGTTATCATTTTTTCAGTCCTGTCAATTTCGGAGATATGGTTAGTTTCGTTCCTTACACTTGCAACTTAGTAAGAAATCATTTCAAATAAACAAGAAGGCGTGTTATTCATTTGTTTGTAATATCATGGAGTCTTCAGAACCATAATAATTGGAAAAGCAAAAATAATTCAAAAGTGACAACTATTGCAGGCGTTATTACGGCATTTGTACTTAACGAAAAACAGCGAATTGAAATTCTTATTTTTCGAGGTTATGGAGATAAACAAGGATCTTACGAAAAAGTGTGCAATTTGATTGATGCGTTCTATCCCGAAAAACAAATTAAAAATCTACTATCTGCAGGACAGTAAGAAACTTGCTTGAGTGGAAAGAAAATCTGGATGAGGGAGACCGAAAACCGCTACCAGTGATGAGAATAAGTTAAATGTCCTTTTACAGCTTGAAGAAAACCCTAGGACAACGACCACAAAGTTATCCCTTAATTCGCGAATAAGTCAGAAATCGGTCAGAAATATGATGACGTGAAGTTATACGTCAATACATACATATTTGCCAGCAAGGCAAATATGAAAGACATCCACCTAGAATTGAATTTGAGATTACCGCGACAGCTAAAATGCCATTCCAAATTGTTCACTCGGATGTATATCAAGCTAACAATAAGAAATTTTTAACAACAATTGAAAATTTTTCAAAATATGCGCAAGCCTTCACAATCGAAGCAGCTGATGCTATCTCTGTTGTAGACAATTTAATCAAATACTTCTCATTTCATGGTTTGCCCATCCAAATTGTTGCAGATTCTGGTACTGAGTTCAACAACTCCTTAATAAAAGAGTCTGCAAAACTCGATAAGATAAAGCTACATTTTACAACTTCCAAAAATTCAAATAGTAATTCACCTATTGAACGATTCCACTCCACTATAACAGAACATTTAAGAGCTCTTGAATTGCAATTTCCAAAAAAGGATGTTAATTCTTTGATGCCCTATGCAATCCTTGGCTACAATCAGTCCATACATTCAGTGACGAAACGAAAACCAATTGAAATTATTAACGGACATTTAGACGTTAGAGATCCTTTTGATCTAGACGTTGATCGAGAATTAATGAACAATTACCTTCAAGAACACAAGAATAGGACAAAATCAATTTATAGCCTTATCTATGACATGTCGAAAACCCAAAAGGAAAAGGTTATTCGAAAAGCTAATAAAGATCGCGAAAAACCGACCGACTATTCTAGAGAAAAAGTAGCGTACCGACGTGACGCGAAGTCCGAGGTAAAAAGCTGAAACCACCCTATATAAAAGAACAGATTTTGACTGACAAAGGTTTAAAACTAAAAACTAATAGAAATATTTATCATAAAAGTATTTTCAAAAAGCCCAGAAAGAAAGTAACTCAAAATTTGTTACAGGATGATACTTCTTCTGATAGTGCATCTGACACATCAGTCCACGGTGAAGGTCACCAACCTTAAAACAAATCCTGGTATACTACCCTTCAGATTAGGTGACGCTACAGTAAAAATAGGAACACATACATTTTTACACTATGTAGATTTTGAGCCGATAATAATTAAGGAAGTAAATTCGCTAAGTACAGTATTTCAAGAAATCAAGGACCAAACAGAAAAGAATAAATATAATTTAGGATTCATTCCAGATACACATTTGGCATATATAGAACAGCATATAGTTTACTCGATGTCAAATTTGAAAAACAGAATAAAGTCCATATATCCATTCGGGAAAAAGCAATATCGCCCAAAGCGAGGTTTAATAAACGGTTTAGGATCAATTATCAAAATGATTTCAGGGAACTTAGATGATGACGATGCTAAAAAATATGACCAGGAAATTGAACAATTACAGAAAAATCAGAATCAAGTAATTAAGACAGTTAATCAGCAAATTTCCTTGACCCACGAGGTTCTCAAAAACAACAGTAAGACATTTAGCCTTATGGTTCACAATCAAGCTGTAATAGAACAAACTTTGGTAGAGATGCAAAGGAACAATACATACTATTTTACTATTTTGGATACACTATTACAAATAAAGTTCAATTTAGATACACTGCTCTCTATAACCAGTAATTTGGAAAATGCCATCGCATTTGCCAAAATTGGGTCATTGCACCACAGTATTATTTCGATAGATGAATTAAAGTCAATATTCCCAATATTAGTCAAAAATCATAATAAAGCTCAGTTGGTGTATTCAGACATCAAAGATATTTATAAGCTTTACGACATAATTTCAGTAGAAGCATATTTTTCCCAAAATCGATTAGTTTTTGCCTTACATGTTCCGCTTATTGCACGTAGACACATTTAAGCATTATCATCTTTATTCCATTCCTACTGTTAACCTTACTACCATTATTCCCAAAAATTCCTATTTCACAATGAGTACCAAAATGTACCAATATGATGCTGAACCATGTCAAATGATAGAAGATATTTTTATTTGCCACGAAAACAAATTGGTCCATCTAGCAGAAGAAGAAGACGATTGTCTATTTGCTATTTTACAAATAAACAAAAAGCAGCCAAATTGTAACAAAATTCCCGTTACTCTTAAAATGGCCTTAATTGGAGAAGTTTCAGAGTCCAAATACATTGCTATTTTTCCGAAACCTGAAAAGCTGATAATCAAGTGTGAACAAGATGACGTCATAGAATTAAAAGGCATTTACCTACTTGAAGTGCATTACCAGTGCAGCATACAAACGAAGGACTACATTTACAAAAATCAAAAAGGAACAACCATGGAAAAGCCGCTGTTGCTTCCAGAGGTCCACATTTCATCAAAAACAGAAAATCCAAAGGAAATCAAGTTAGTACATATTTCCTTAGATAAACTTCATCACTTGCAAGAACGAGCCGACCAAATCCAGGTAGATCTTCCCGAAACAGTGAAGCACCCCTACAAATGGAGTCTACCCCTGTATGCAATTATGTTAATTGGAATTGCATGCATCTTCGTGAAAAAGTATTACAAGAGAAGAAAAGGATCAAGAGGAAGCCAGCATTTAGAAGAAATCGAAATGCAACCCCAGAGGCACAAAGTTTTGTTTGTGCCCTCTAAAACTTCATCTTAAGGGTGGAGGAGTTATGTTGCCGTCATTTAGCACTTTATTAATTGACATAATAATTGCATTGTATTCCTTTTTACTAGCTCATCACTTTTGGTTTACATTAGCGATTGTATCTTAATTATGAGTCAGTCATTCAATCTCAGTCACAGCGGACACACACACTATAATTCCGGTTCAGTTCATGTAAACTATTGTTGGAATCAAATAAAGTTTTTAAAAACGAAGTTTGAAGTTCCGACTACATAATTCGTGGCACTCTGGAAGATTGCTTCTTTTAGGGTTTTCTGAAGTGCAGAGTCTATAAAGATCGGCCCAATGACTTAGAAGGACTTAGACAAAAGGTTTGGATGAAGCCGCACAAATTACTCCATATCTGTTTCCGAATGCTTTGGCAGAATATAACGATCGCGTCGAAAATTTTTTAGCCAACGATGGTAGACATTTTGAGCCCTGATTAAGTAGATAGGTATTTTGTTATTTTTTAATATTATGTTATTATTTTGCACTAATATTTACTTGTTTCATAATTAAATTTCCTTATTCCCTTCACTTGTCTTTTTTAAATACAATCTTGGAAACATCGCAAATGCAATTCATAAATTCATAATGTCCAGTTACTCATCTGTACTAATTTTGACGAATTCCGGTTGGATCGGATTCGAGATAATTTTCTAATCGGTATCGTTCTGTATTCATTTCGAAAGAAGCATGATGCCATATCTCCGAAATTGACAATAGCTGAGAAACGGTAATATCAGGTCGTAATAAACTTGATACAGGCAATTGATTACAATCATAAAAATTAGGGTATTCTATTTAAAATTTAAAAGTTGCTCAACCTAGGGAGAAAACTAAAAAATTGGCAACCTTGCAAATATAATCTTTGAGTTTTTAATGTTTAGTTACCCCTTCGCACAAAATATGGTTCATTCATATTTGACGATTGCTGAGATAATCCACCCTTACGGTTCTTTCTATTAACCCTTTATAGCTGTTCGTGAAGGTAGTATAAAGATAGAATTAAACAACATTTTTCTTGTAATTTAAATTTTTTGTTGTATGTACCTTCAGAATATCAAGACATGCATGTGACGTGACCATAAATCAGTATTTAGTTGCTATAAGCTAATAAGAAGCGACGGAAGTATATAAATATGATCCTCTTGTTAAGTTATACAGTACTGCTGCTAATTCCAACAAGCGAATTCCATGAAAAAACGTTATAGTGTCGCAAAGCCTTATTTGGAGGATGTTCGGATACACAGGTACAAAAAAACAATATTAATGTTTTACTGTGTTGCCTTATTGATTTCTTCATTTCCGCAAACCCTCACAAGATCTTCCATAAACCATCCCATCCTCTTCCTAAGTGGTTCATAGTCCCAAACATTATCCAGCTCAGTTTTCCCTATTTCCAAGTACGAACTTGCTAGCTCTTTCTTTGTCGGCCATCATTTCTTCATTGTACTTCTTCGGTAGCAATAGGTAGTGACCGTACAACACACATTTGCAGATTATGGCAGCTTCAACTTCCTTGCAAGATTTGACAAACTGGTCGAAAGTGAAGATGTTAGCAGCATCGACATCTTGAGAGTTCAGTATTTGGGTCATTTCTTTGTAGTAGAGTTCGATGAGGTGAGTCATGTGTTTTCTCCTGGTGGGGCCATCAGAGTTGACGTAGATCAAGAAGAGAAGATCTTGAGCTGGTGGGCAGTACTTGATCAATTGGAAGTCAACGAATAATACTGACGCAGTTTGGTCAGCTTGGTCTTCTTTATACATGATGTTAGCTGGAAAAGAGTAATAGGTTGATTATAAAATGGGATAAGGAAATAAATTCATACAGAATGAACAAAGGGGCACTCCTCTGACCCAAATTTTATCAGAAAAGATCGTATAAACGTGTCCTAAAACTCTTTGTCTTAGGAAACAGGGCGTAGGTTAAAGAAGAATTGCTTTTCTATTAGTATCCGTGCGTCTGTTTTATTGATTTTTGGCGGTGTCATTCATTGCGGTAAGACTATATGGAAGATAATTATGAATTCGATGACCTTGGGATTTCATTTTTGGGTGTTTGAAACATATTTATTAGGTTTAGCGTTAACGTGAGACAACGGTATACTTTACACGTTTCCCAATACTAAATTGCTCACATCTCGAAAAATATCAGTTTTAGAGAAAAGTTTATTACAACCTTATTCTTATAATGATCCGGAAAGCCTTGAAAGGCTTTACCTAGAGCGACAAAGACAGTTTTGTTTCAATCTGGGGCCTGTCAACAGTTCTTGAAGATAATGATGCAAAAGAAACCGAGTCGGAACATTTTCCAGAGCCGGTGCAAATATAGATCCTGGACTATTAAAATTCTGCCCGTTGAGCCTATAATCTGGGCTTAGTTTGTTAAGGGGCGCCTTTTATATCCTTTCTCGGGCAGAAAAGTTCGACATGTTACTCCTACCAGCCTTATCTGCTCGGAGTGTGAGACTCTCCAGAATATTCGCCGTTGCAGTTCGTCATTACTGCATTTCGTCATGATGGGTGGCGTCGCGCAAACTGAGCTTACCTCCCCACATATCGCCATGATTCAGCACATTTCTGATTGTATCAGATTTTTTCATGTTATACAGCTTTTTACAAGCACTATTTATCTGTTCCTTCAAAACCTCATGATTCGTGGTGTTAAATAGGTCAGGAAACTTTGACAAAGTGTACTCAGATATACTACGAGCAAAACGATCTTCGGTTTCTCTGTACTCTCCTTTTTCATTAAATATGTTTTCAACTACAGTCTCGGGATATTCTTCATCTATTTTTACTTTTCTTCCAAATTTTTCACTTAGCTTTTCCTCGAAAATAATTGACATCGCATGAAGTTTGGCCATCACTTTGACCGCTGCAAACAACCATTTGTGCGATACTGGTATATGAAAGTCGCAGGATTCATACCTATAACAAAACCACTATCATCTAACTGTTCTAAAAAAGTATAACTCATAAATCAAACACAACCCAGTCGCGTCATGCGCTCAAATCATCAAAACTGTGTAAGATTTTATAAGCTGCCTCAGTATTTAAAAAAAAAATATGAGTAATTTGAGAAATTTTAAATATGAAGTGAAATCGTTTTTATAAGAGGAAGGGTTTTATACAATTGGCAAGTTTTTAGAACACCAGGACAAATAATATAATTAAATGCTATTCAACATATTTGCTTATTTATTTTTCTTTTTGTATTGACCTGCTATATACAGGGTATTCATTTGAAAACCTTCTACCACGAATTTATCGAAAACCACTGATTAAAAGAAGAAACTCCGAGACACGTCAAGCAATTTGTCAAGGGAAGTAACTTTTTAACAAAAAACTACTTCACCAACTGCCACCAGGGATATTCCCTCAAAAATTTCAAATGACAAGGGGTATCGAGTGATAGCTTGTTATAAGGATCTTTAAATGTCCTTTATTTTGTCGTTTGATTTCTTAAAATCGTGCGTTTCGTTTTCAAGAAAATTACAAACATCTCTATTTATCTTAATTTGTTTAGACAGAAAACAAAAACACACGAAAATATCACGTTTCTATTTTAATAAGTGTTCAAAATGTTGCCCGCAATAGTCCAAACAATGATATAGGCGATGTTCAAATTCCTGACGGACATTTTCAAAAACATGTTGTGGGACATCATGGCAGGTTTCGGTGATGCGTTGACGAAGTTCATCCAAACTTGCAGGCTGGGGAGTAAACACGATAGATTTTAAATGTCCCCATTGAAAAAAGTCTAATAACGTCAAATCAGGATCTCTAGGAGGCATTTCTGTAGTCCCTCTTGGCCCTATCCGTTTATCTCGAAACTCATCGTCTAGCCATTGCCCAACCTGAAGAACATAATGAGGAGGAGCGCCGTCTTGATGGAAATATATTTCAGCCCCAACGAGTATAGGGTTTTCATCATCTTGGATTTGGTTTTCAATGGTTTCAGTGATAAGCTGTTTGATGATATTTTACAACATATCCAAATAAATATCTCCATTATATTTCCATTAATAAGCAATGGTTCAATCACTTTGTTTCCTAAAATGCCTGCCAATACATTAATTTTTTGGCGGTACTGGGTATGCCCTTCTACAAAAACATGAGGATATCCATTGCTCCAATACCTGCAGTTATGTATACTAACAAATCCAGTTAGATGAAATGTGCATCCATCACTGAAGCAGATATTCTTTACATAAGTAGTATTATCATTAATCGCTGCAGTCACAAAGCAACTCGCCTATCGAAATCATCTTCGGTTAACTCTTGCAATATTTCCATTTTGAATGGATGAAACTTATGGACTATAGTAACCGTAACAGATCCTGATGAAATGCCAGTCGCAGCAACAATTTTGCGTAATGAGGTACTAGGATTTATTTCAAAATGACCCAAATCTTCAACTTGAGCGGCTTCATCCAAAACTCTCCAATAAGCACGTTTTTACTCACAACAGATTAATTTTGAGTAAATTTAGTAACAAGGTCCAAAACAAGTTATCTTTCCCGGATACTGGCGTTAAACGTGATTTTGCGTACCAGTAATTAGAAATATTTCCACTCCTTCGGCTAGTGTGTGAACCGTTTTGAAAGTAAAATCTGAATCAATAAATTCATTTTCACTACTCCAAGATTGTCACAAAAGTAACTGACAGCAAGTTAAATTATGTCTTTCCCTTAGCAACAAATAACCAAACAGTTTGCCCAGAATATCTGTGTTGATGAAAAGAATGCGGAAAATATTCGGGTTGTTATTTGATTGTCGTCACGTCTAACCTTCGAATTGCTGTTTATGTTGGTAGTTGCCGTTTTAAATCATAAACGAACTGCAGATTTGGCCAACCTGAACGGACATCATTTTTAACACTTATTGAAATAAAAAGTGATATTTTGGGGTGTTTTTGTTTTATATCTGAACGAATTAGGGTAGGTACAGATTGGTCTAATTTTCCCGAAAACGATTTTGAAAAATCAAACGTCAAAATGAAGGACTTCGAAAGACCTTTCAGACAAGCTACTTCTCGATACCCCTTGTCATTTTAAATTTTCAAGGGAATGGCCTGGTTTTCAGAGGGTGAAAGGGGGTGAAGTGTCTTGGCGGTTTTTCTTTTAATCAGTGCTTTTCGATATATCCGTGGTGAGAATACTTTCAAATGAACACCATGTATATGTGCTTATGTATCAATACGGCCAATAAATACTACTACTACTACTACTAATACTACTACGGAATTGTTATTGCAGTAACTAACCAAAGTTAGTAGCCCAACATATAGTACAATACTTCAACTATACTAAGTGACATATAAATCCGAACACCCAGTTTAAATGGTTTTATTTTAATAAAATTTTGTATAAGTACTTAATGAAGCATAATAAGTAAATGATAAATTTCAAAATGATTGCACTGCTTTAAAGCCCTTTGACCTTTAATAATGTGTGGATGACCCTGATGTGCTACGCATTCTTCAACGCGCCTAATCATGCTTCTGATCAGGTGGTCAATGTCCTCCTGTGGTATCTCATTCCAGGCAACCGCCAACTCCTCTTGACGTGCTTCTAGAGTCTGAGGAGGACGTTGCAATCCTGCCCATCATGTCCCTGCACGTTCATGTTACCTCTGATGAAGATTAAAGGTGACCTGGAACCATAAGCTTTAGCATCCCAAACCATAACTCCAACAGTGTGATGAACATGTCTTTCAACAAAAAACTGTGGATTCCTCCTTTCACCACGTCGCCTTCTAACCCTGGCACGACCATCGTGCATGCCTAAACAAAATCGAGACTCGTCACTAAAGACAATACTGTTCCATTCCTGATCCCACATTGACCGGTGTCTGCACCACTCAAGGCGATTACGTCGGTGTTCTCGAGTTAAAGGGAGGACCCAGTGTGCTCGGTATGAAAACAAGCCAAAACTTCGTCATTCGTCGGTAAACACTTCGCACGCCAATAGGTATTCCGTGTTCTGCAAACCATTCATTTGCAATGGACCTGGTAGTGGAGAAACGGTCCCTTAAAGCCAATAATCTTAGGCGGCGATCTTCACGGTCTGTTGTTTTACGGCGGCGTCCAGTGCCCCTTGCTCTTTGCGTACGGTCTTCTTAAAGCCATGCCTGACAACACCTAACCACAGTGTCTACACTTCTTTGCACTCTAACTGCAATTGCCCGAAAAGGAAGTCCAGCTTTCCCAAGTCCCACTATACGGCCCCTATCAAACTCACTAAGTTGACGAAATCGTACAGGTCTCCGTACTCTAGGCATCGTAACCGATCGAAAACGATGTCAAGAACCAAAATCCGCCAACGTTGATTCTTTACTGCGGCTGAAATATTCATTTTTAGAGCGTTAGTGAATTAAAAAAAAGCAGTATAAAAACCGGAATGTCCAACTGATAAGGCTGAAAATTGTTTCACTTGTTATTTACAGTAAGATAAATACATTCACCAACTTTTATTAAAATAAAAACATTTAAACTGGGTGTTCGGATTTATATGTCACTTAGTATATTATGGAAAACTGAACAACTGAAGAATGGTTCGTTTATCGTTTCAGGCATGTATACATAGCCCAGTAAGGGGACGCTAAATGTTCCCAGATCTGACAAAAATTCTATTATGGATGAAAATTAGCTTATGGCTCTGACCGCGTTGCCACGTCTGACGGATCAAGTATCGAAGTATTTTGCGGGTTATGAAAAATCGTTT